CCTCACCTGACCCGTCCTATGCAAACAAAGGCAATCCCGGGGCGAAATCAGGGCAAACCAATCTTGAAACTTCGGACGTCGCGAAGCACGGATAAATGAGCCCTGCAAGCCGCGCCTTTTCCAGACCAAGACAGTGCTGGCGGGCCAACATCCGCACCCTAAAGCCTAAACCCTACCGGAACCCCCAAGGTAGCTTTTAATGCAAGGTGCTGAAGGTGAAAGTGTCGTTGGGGGGTCTAGCACATACCCAGGGCTGTAGGTCACCTTTTGAAGGTCACATGACCGGAACAGCCACGGGGATCTTGCGCAATCCTGCCGGAAGGCGGAACATCAGAACGAGGTGTCTCATTTCAGGACCTTCATGAATGGAATGTCGAATCGGGGCATCGTTCAAAACAACTGTATAATGGAGTGATACTACTGGTACTCCTTGCTCGTTTGCCCTATCAGGTTCAGTGCAGGCCAACAAGAGTCCGACCGTCGAGCAACAACATGTGCCGGTTTAAATCCGACCGCTTTACATAATAGCTTCATCACTACTACTGTTGCAAAAATGCCTTGATGTCATTGTTCTGTCACTTCTACTTCTTTTTCGTGTCGTTCGTGATACTGTCATGAACCCTTTTCTCCCAACATACCCTAAATAGTAGGATTCTTGTTATACGGACCCCAAAATAAGGTACCCCTACTTTTCGGAAACTCCTAAACCCTAAACCCTTATAGATCCCTTAAAGGAAGCCAAAATAAGGTACCCCTATTTCCGAAAACTCTAAACCCTAAACACTTTATAGAACCCATATAGATCCCTTTAAAGGAACCCTTAAAGGATCCCTTTAAAGGTACCCCGTATGTTCGGAAACTGCCATGTCGATCCCATGTTGAAGGACGTCGCTACATGCACGGCACCCGTACGGAAACCGGGTTTAGAGTTTAGGGCTTTAGGGTTTAGGGTTTAGGTCCCACCAAGTCTATGGACCCCGCATTTCTTTCAAATGCTGAATGTTGCTTAAAATGATGTAGATGTTCAACATGATTCAGAATTTTTCAACCAGTAGAACTATCAGAATGACTCGCAATGCTATGAAAAATACTGATACCTATTGCTACTACTACCACGAGTACTGCTTTTTGACTAGAAACACTAATGCTGTTTCATTGTTTTATTATAAAGCCAATGCTATCAACTACTGTTTTTACTACTGTTGATGATATAAATCCTGCATGACCTTAATTAAGGACCCTAAACTATGGGAATTATGGTATATTCCTTATTGTGGGTGATGCAAGATTTGTATCATCAACCGTATGACGTGCCGCTCTGCGGGGTCCTTAAAAGTTCGGAGGTTCCCGGCAGAGCTCCACATCGTGCGGAAGCGGCGGTGTGGATGGATCCTGCGAGGGCTTTAGTTGAGAATTGCTTTGGGGCTTAGGACACACAGGGTTTAGCCTTTAGGGCTTACGGTTAAGGGGTTAGGGCTGGGGGGTCTCAGGAAGTTAGGGTTTGCAGTGTCGAGCTCCTTGATTAACAGTGCTAACCAGGGGTTTGCAGGTGGGGCTGTTGAATTGAAGCTACAGATACTGGTCTATAGAACCCTAAACCCTAAACCCTAAACCCTAAACCCTGATAGGTTTTAGGGTCTAGGGCAGCGTCTGCGATTTAGGGCTACGTTGCTGAGGCTTTGGGGCGCGTGGGATTTAGGACCGGGTGACCACAGTTCGAGTGTCGGGTCCTGGGTTCCTCACCCAAAGTCTTCGAACTGAGCCCAGAGACTCCAATATCCCGTGATTAAGTGAGGAATATAGCTTAAACCATATTAGGGACCCTATCATAACTTTATGTGAAATTCCTGAATTAAGGGATAGTGGAGTCCCCAAAACCCCAGACCCCAAACATCCCTTATAGATCCTTTAAAGGAATCCTCGGTATTGCTTCAACAAGGGATTTTGGAGTGGGAAACAGAGCCGTTCTGGTTGGAAATCGCTCCCCCACACCCAACCCTTTAACCGGGCCTTAGACTAGACCCAAGAGTAGCCTAGGAATAAAAAGGGTGCCCTTTTTGGTTTTAAGGGGCATATAAGGGAACCTGAACCCTACAAAAAGGGAATAACGGCCTACTCTCGGTCCTAGTAATACTTAGAATACTAGGATGCCCAGTAACCTAGGAAGAAAAAGGGCTCCTTTTTTGTTTATTGGGTAACCTAGGAAGAAAAAGGGCTCCCTTTTTGTTATTGGGTACTTGTATAAGGAACCTAGGACTACAAAAAGGGAATAAGGGTACTACTGGGCATCCTGGACTGAGGTTCTGGGGGGTAATTCTGACATATTTAGGAACCCCCAAAACCCTATATTCTAATTAGAAACGTCTCTATGGTATCCCTGGGCATTCAGATCCGAAAACCCGCACCCGGAGCGTCTCTACAGCGAAAACAAGGCAGCAACAACGTCATCATGCATATGTGCCTATCTGGTATATATATATATATATATACATACATACATGGGCCTTAAAGTAATCACAAAAAAAGGGGCCAAAGTATCCAGTATATGGGTACATGGACCCTTGGGGTGAAGAACAACATTGCTGATCAGCAACTGACCAGACTAGCTTGTCCGCTCTCGCAGAAACAAAACGCAGTCGCGCAGAGTCACAAACTCCCGGTTCCCTGTATCTCGGGCCTGAAAAGAGGCTTCCTTTTCAGATACCTTCGGGCCCAACCTACTTGTCGGGTATCATGGGGAACTAAGGTTAACCTTTTTGGTTATATAGGGATTACATAAGGACTATACTACCCAACAAAAAGTTAAAGGTTACCTACTCTACTACTAGGCCAAGTTTCTACTGTATGGATACATGGACACTACCTACAGTCTCCAGTGTGGTTGCTTTTGGGAATACCTGTTAAGATCCCAAAGATATGCAATTGGCTAAACCAAACAAGCGAGTGCTAGGGATGCTATCCGAATCCATGAAAACTCTGGACCCATCTAAGCCCTTGACCCTAGACCCATCTACACCCATCGAAGCCCTAAACCCTAGACCCATCTAAACCCATCAAAACCCTCAACCCTAGACCGTCTACACCCATCTAAACCTTAAAAACTATCTAAACCTGAAGCCGGGGAAGCCCTACCTTTCTAGGGCTCCTTATTCCGGCTTTTATGCAAAACATCGTTTGAGCCACAGGTAGACCCTAAACCCTAGACCCTAAGCCCTATACACCCTAGACCCCTAAACCCCTAAACCCTAAGCCCCTAAACCCCTAAACCTCTTAACCCAAAGCCCCTAAACCCTGAACCCCAAAACCTAAAACCCTATCCCCAAAAACCCTAAGCCAGAAAACCCCTAAAACCCTGAACCCTAAAACCCCGTACCTTTTGGGGGTTCAGGTACCCACAAACCCTTCAGTCGCAATTTTTCTGGGAGCCCCGGCACTCGGCGTCCAGCCACATGGCACCACGTTGCTCTGGACCTGAGGTCTCCGCACGATTCCTTTAAAAACGTTCCTTAAAGGGGTCTATAAGGGATCTATAGTAGGGTTCTGTAAAATAGGGGCCTTCATAATTAGAATAGGGTTTTTGTGCGTAGCCTGAGAGTTTAGATGGGGTTTAGGGTTTAGGGATTAAATTAAGTTTAGATGGGTTTAGGGCTTATAAGGGTTTAGTGTTTGGGGCTTAAGGTTTTGGTGGGTTTCGGGCTTTGGCTTAAGGTTTAGATGGGGTTTTGGGCTTAGGGTTTAAAGTTTATGTGCGGCTCAGGGTTCAGGGCCTAGGGTTTGGAGATGTTTGGAGGGATTTGGGGCTTAGGCTTATCACCACCACGAGGAAGTGCAAGCTAGCACCATCAGCCGAAAACACTTGCAGACAAGAGCGCCCGGTAGGCTCGTAACTTCCCAGGCAAGTCCTGTCGGCGAGATGGCGCGGAACTAGATTTGGGAGTTGAAAGTGCTTCATCCTAAACCTAAACCTTGCACCTTCTTTGTCCGAAACCCTTAGGCGCTAAACTCTACTGAACTCATCTTGCTAAGCCCAAAACTTAACCTAGCTACCAGCAACCCTGCCCCAGGGTGTACCTTAACCCTGAAAAACCTACCTTTTTAGGGTTCCCTATTATGATTTCCTTATATACGTCCTTAAAAAGGTAGGTTCTTCAGGGTTTAGGTAGGGTTTAGGGTTTAGGGTGCCCTGCACTTCCATTAGGTGTAGGGTCTCCGCTCTGAGCATTGACTCACTGGCCCAAAACCCAAGGGAATCAGAGTTGAAACTTTCCGAATCGCCTACCTTATAAGAACCCCAAAAGTTGAAAAGTTGAGTTTACAGCCAATACCCATAGGCCCCAAAGTAGTTCCTTTTTGGGGTTCGCATATAGAATCCTAGAGGGTAATCCCAAAAAGGAACTACTTTGGGGCCTCTGGGTAAGTTGAGGTGTCCTGGTTCTTGCGGGGATGTCCGGCTTGCAGCTGTATGCTGGCTTTCCGCACTTTTCCTACTAGCTCTGCTATGGCACTGAAGGTTTTCCGGGGCCAAACAAACACCCTTGGTTGCGAGCATTAGCCGAAGAATCTGGAAACCCACGTCCCGTGCCATGCAACCAGGATGTCAAATTTGTTTCGGGAGGCGGTGGGTGCTTGCTTTCTTGAGTTCGGACCGTGCATGCATGTCACGAACTACGTATGCCCGTTGGTAAGAGCATCTCTGCTTTTACGGTTCCAAACTCCGACGACGGAAGGGACCACGAATACTGCCACGACAACGATGCTGCCACTCCGACAACGACGGTGACTGGTCTCTACCGCTACCCCCTGCGCTCAACATCGCTTCCCTGTTTTCAAGCTGGCGTGCATTGCACTTGATCACATTGGCTCAGCATGCTTTTGAAGTCATGAAAACCTAGGTTCCTGAGTAGCCCCTTAATAATAACCCTTTTTCCTACTCTTTGGTTTTAATAAGGGAACCCAAAAAGTAAAAGTGCAAAAGGGCACTACTCGGGAACATAGAAACCCTAAAGACTATGTGTCACAAGGCCTTCTTGGTCAGATCTTGCCTCCCTGCTGTCAGAGCTTCTCTCGTGGCAAGAAAGTATGCGTTGGACCAGCAGAAATATCAAGCCACCAGTGCAGAACAAGGACAGACCAAGAAAGATCCATAGACGGCGCTGGACAAGTTCTGTTTTTGCTGCTGCCTCGTCCGTCAGTGCGCCAGGTTTGTCAAGGGCCGGGGCGCAATCGGCCAAGCCTTTTGCGCCTTCGCCGCGTACTCGTATCCAGCAGGGTCGAGTTGAGACGCTTCCCCACGTTTTCGCGACGTCTTCCGCCCTCCAGACATCTGCCGACTGATAGGGCCCCTCGGATCTGTAGAGTGCTGAGGAAGCCCCTGGCACTCCAAACTCATAGGCGCAGCTGATCTGCTTGTCGCCGTCTCCGGCCCCATCCAGGCTGTCGGAACCATCCCTTAATGGTAAGGAAACAAGGGCCCAGGGCGTGTAGCTGAAAGTGCGTCGACGGGTGTTAGCTAGGCGCCGGGCCGGAGCCACAGCAACCTCCTCGCCCTCGGTCAGCTCCTCGTCCTCATCTTCTTCCTCCGGGTGCATCTACCCTCTATTATTATGTCCCAAACATCTATATAAAATTGGGGCCCTTTACCCCGATTTCTTAGCCCTCGGCGCCTGTGGTTCCTGCAAGCGCCGGAGGTCGTGGCCTGGCTGCTCAAAGTCCAGATGCGCCGCCTCGGCGCACATTTTTCTGTGGAGCCTCGAAGCATTGTGCTTCCTCAAAATGTCCAGGATGCCCTGAGGTGTGCACCAACAGTGCTTCACATGCCAACTCCAGTCCTGATTCACGGGGAAGGGCTTGCCGCGTTGGTCCGTCCCACACCTCCACGATGAGCGGGAAGCCACTTTGTAGGTTTTCGCGGTCGATGGAACCGTATACGTGAAGCCATTGAAGAGTTCCGGGGCGTAAGTAATCTCCCCGTTGCATTGGCAGGTATCCCCTTCTTTGGCACACCAGTAGGTTCCTGGGCAGACGGCTATCTGCTCCGTCAGGAACACAGGTGGCTGCGATGACGGCATTGCGCCCGCTACGTAGCCACCGCACGTGCTCCCTTTCCTAGGTTGGCAAATTAAAGCCTGAAACACGTTAGAAAACAAGATCCTCTTAAGCTCAATAAGGGAAAGTTCAAAATATCCCAAAGCCCTACCTAGTTTCCGTATGTCGGTGCAGCTGACGCCAGAGGCCAGCACTTGGCAGGTCGTCTGCTGCCACATCGTGGCAACATCCCAGGCATTTGCCTTGTTGAGCAAGTCTCCCTTGCTGTGGAATGAGAAAGCTGCATAAACGACACAGCTCCAGCCGAAGAAAGAGCAACATCCCGCTAGCTTGAGCTGCTTAGCGGGATCACGCAGCGTCTCCCGAAGCTGCTCAAACTCATTCCTTTCGGATGCTGTGCTTCTGGTCCCATTCAAGCGGGGGCCGGGAGGTTCAGGGGGCGGCAGGTGTGGCATAGTTGCTATTTCTACATCCTCCGGAGACGGGACAGAGTGGCTGCGCGCGAGGATACAACCAGGTCTCTGACTATGACGACCACACGACTACCACGACCGCACGAATACTGCTGATGATGTAAATCCTGCATGACCCATAATAGGGAATATACCATTTTCCCATAGTTTAGGGTCCTTAAGGTAATGCAGGATTTAGATCATCAACCGTATCCAGTCCTCCCCGGTAGGCGACATCAAAGCTTCCATGACGTCGTTCCGAAGCTCTGGAAGCTTCCCTCTTGCATTGATGTTCACCTTCAGTTCCGAGGCCCCCAGAGACTCCAACATTCCTTAAGTAGGGAATATACCTTAAATCCATATTAAGGATCCTACTATAATTTAAGGTATATTCCTTAATTCATATAAGACCTACTATAATTTAAGGTATATTCCTTAATTAAGGGATATTGGAGTCTCTGGGCCCAAGACAGTGGGAAATAACTTGGGCCTCCTTCCTTAAGCACGGAAGGAACCCTAAAAGGGCTTAGGGTTCATATACCATATAGGGATTCATAGTATATGGGTATAGGGCCCCTACTTTTCTTAGTTGTTAAGTTCATAAGCCCCAAAAAGTGTGCACTTTCAGTTTTATAGTGGCTAATATTATCCCAAAAAGTGTAAAGTGTATCCACTCACAGAAAATAGGGGACCCTTATATAAGATAGTAGGATCCTTATTATAAGGACCCCAAAATAGGGCACCCCTAATTTTCGGAAACTCCCACATGGGTACAGGGCCCCTACTTTTAAGGGTCATTCGGTCATTGAGGATGAAGGAGTTTCAGCAGCTGATGTACCCTACGCATCCTGGCTACGCAGGCCCCTGGCAAAGAGTCTCCTGGTACCCAGAGACTCCGATATCCCTTAATTCAGGAATTTACCGTAAATTATAGTAGGATCCCTGATATGATTTAAGGCATGTTCCTTGATTAAGGGATTTTGGAGTCTCTGGCTACAACAAGTCCCGGTCTGGGATTTGATGGTGTCGAGCTGGGGTGTGTGCAGGGCCTGCGGGGGAACTCATGGCTTTAGGGCTTTAGGGTTTAGGGGCTAGGGTATAGGGTTTAGAATTTATGGTTCAGGGGTTCAGGGTTCAGGGCGAGTCGAGATGGATCGACAGACAGTAGATTGAGGGGGGCCCTTCCTGATGTCACCTGCATTGGATAGCAGAGAAAATTCCAAAACGAGAATGCGCAGCATTCACGATCTCAGCATGAACGTAATAGACGGGCCTTGATACTCAGAAGAAGATTTCGGAGAGTGCCTATTATTATAGCCTTGGAGCCGTGCATAGCTTTCGGGTAAAAGGGTTAGGGACTTTCGGGTTTGAAGATGAATAAATTAGAAGCTGCCCCCACCCTGTAATAGTGACTATAAGGATTATATATGATTATATTAGGGCCCTATTATATTCCTATTATACCACTATTACAGGGTGGGGGCAGCTTCTAATGAATAAATATGAAATAGAAGTCAGGGATTCGGGTTTAGGGTTGTTTTAGGGTTTAATGTTCAGGCTTGAGGGCTTACGGCTCTTTCTAAGCCTGAAAGGTTCAGAAAATCATGGTGCCTTTTTGAGGTCTTCAGAGCAAGGATAAACGCTAAACCCTATGAACCCTGAAACTTCTAAAAACTCTACAAACTCTAGAAACCCTATAAACCCCACAAACCCTGTAAACGCTATAAGCCCTACAAACCCTATTAGCCTTACAAGCCCTATAAGCCCTATCAACCCTATGTAGAATCCCGGATCTTCCCAAAAGGACTCCCAGGAAGCTTCAGACGGTTGATGATATGAATCCTGCATTGCCCATACTAAGGCATATACCATAATTCCCATAGTTTAGGGCCCTTAAGGTACTGCAGGATTGATATCATCAACAGTAGGAAGCTTCAAATGTCGAGGCACATTGGCGCTGAGCAGGGTGACTGCCTAGGGAGCTTCCGTGGCTCTGAGCTTGGGTTTCGTGTGGAGGGTTTAGGGTTTAAATGTATTCGGGTTTGGTTTAGGGTTTAGGGTTTATAGGGTTTATATGGTTTAGGGCTTATAGGGTTTACATGGCTAAAAGGGCTAAAACGACTTATAGAGTCTATAGGGTTTATATGACTTATAGGGCTTACAGGGTTTCTAGGGCTTTTAGGGCTTGTAGGGTTTATGGGGTTTCAGGGTTGAATTTTCTCATGGTTCGGGTTTAGGGTTCTCTCTCGCAGAGACTCCAATATCCATTAACTGAGGAATATTCCTTAAATTATAGTAGGTTCCCTTATATGAATTAAGGAATATACCTTAGATTATAGTAGGATCCTTAATATATGATTTAAGGTATATTCCTTAATTAAGGGGTATTGGAGTCTCTGGGCTGACTTGTCTTGAGACCCCTTGGCCGCCAACCCCGTGCAATCCCCAAAGGGCCGTGAGCCCTCAACGACGAGGCCGGTGAGCAGACCTTTCATAAGGATCCTTTAAGGGGGTACGGGGGAGTCTAGGGTTTAGGGTTTAGGGTTTAGGGTTTTGGTCACTATGATATGACTCCACTACTACTACCACTACCACTACCACTACCACTACCACTACCACTACTACCACTACCACTACCACTACCACTACCACTACCACCACTACCACTACCACTACCTACTACTACTACTACTACTACTACTACTACTACTACTACTACTACTACTACTACTACTACTACTACTAGTACTACTACTACTACTGCTGCTACTACTACTACCACTACTACTACTACTACTACTACTACTACTACTACTACTACTACTACTACTACTACTACTACTACTACTACTACTACTACTACTACTACTACTATCCTTTAAGGAAGTACGGGGGGATCTGATACAGGGTTTTGGCATTCTTTTTAAGTGCAATGGCCTTTCTCCCCGCCTCAGACGAGGAATGCAGTCACCGGGGACATCTACAGTCCACAGGAGCAGAAAACACTGGCCACCCTACAGGATCTTATGAACGAAAGCTCGGTTTCAAATAAGAGCCACTACAGCCCATCTCTGAGGGTTTAGGTTTTAGGGTTTATAAGGCCCATAAGGAAGTATAGTACCCTGCCCCTCTCCCCCAACCCCCGTAAGGGTCCCTATGAATCTTGCACGCTCCAGAAAAAACCGAACATCAAAGCCCAAACTCCCCGCCAAACCCTGACCTGGCTAGAGGGGCCTTAATAATTAGAATAGGGTTTTGGGTGTTCCTTATTAGCCACAACTATAGCAGTAATATACCCCGAAACCATATGCTAATTATTAAGGCCCTACATGACTTGCTGAAACAGCAAAGCTGGCCTGAAGAAGCTTAGGGTTCAGGCATGTCTAGGCTTTAGGGGTGTAGGCTTTAGGGGTTTAGAGCTTGCGGCTTAGGGTTTAGGGTGTAAGGTTTAGGGTTTATGGTGGGTTAATGTGTTTATACGCTTAAGAGTGTCACGTGTTGTGTACACATACACGCTTACACCACAACGGCTCAAGGTTACTTGGTCAGCTCGTACACAGAAAAGACTAACTAACTACCAAACTTTAGCCCTCAACCCTAAGCCCAAAACTCCCCAAACATTTCCAGCCTCGAACCGCAAACCCCAATCCCTAGCCTCAAGGAATGTAGTTTGAACCGAAACCTAGATGCCTTAAAACTTGCCCTGAAGAGCGATGTAACTACTAACAGCCGGGAAAACCAAGCGGAAAATCCTCTAAACCTCAATTTAGAAACACAAGTTGCCACAACGAATCTACTGCTTCGCACAACTCCCAACTTACGAATCCGAACGCCTTTACCCCAAACTCACAAATCCTAACCCCCGAAACCCAAGTCAATTGTAGTAAACCCCACAGAACCGTTAAATATACCAAGCCTCAAACCTGAAACCTTTAAGTATTAAGATCTAAACCCTAGACCCTTACACATCTCTTGTAGGGCCTTTGAAGAGCACTTTGCAAGCTACATGCTAACCCACTAGCCCTAAATCCTGGACCAGAATGTGCCAGGAAACTGCGCGAAAGCCCAGAAATTTCCGGCCGCTCTCCGTGCCCTCCCATAGGCTGACCTTCGTGTCTGAGGTCTGAGGGTTTGGGGATGAGGGGTTCAGGGGTTAGGAATTTAGGTTTTAGGGCTTTTAAGGTTTAGGGTTTAGGGCTTAGGGTTTAGGGTTTAGGGTTTAGGGCTTAGTCTTTGAATGAGGATCTTTGGGAAACAATAAACTGATGCTTTTCGTTGAGCTCCTTTCTTACGCGTCCAGAACAGGCTCAAGGCCCTTAGGCCCGGAGAAGGTGCGGCCCCCACAGGAGCCAATCTCGTGGATGTTGCTGTGTGACCGGTGGTTTCAATGCCATGGTTCAGACCCGCATTGGAGCTAAGCCTGCTATATTTTGGGGGGTGTAAAGCATACGAAGCAGGTCAGGCAGTTGGTTTATGCTTGGGCCTTAATGATTAGAATAGGGTTTGGGGGTCTATTATACTATTAATTATAATAAGGAATCCCCACAACCCTATTCTAATTCTTAAGGGCCCTATATTATGCTTGAGCATGCCCGGCTGGAAGCCCGGTAAGTATTTGTCAAAAATGTTGGGTCCTCGAGTCTGTTTCCCTACACTTAACCCTGCATCCGGAAGGCTAACCCTCAACCACCAAGACCTACCTGAACCCTGAATAGCCTACCTGTTTAGGGCTCCTTACTATGATTTCTTTATATAAGTCCTTAAAAAGGTAGGTTATTCCGGGTTAAGGTAAACCCAAAAGCAAAATCTTCGCGAGTTTAGAGATTAAGGGCGCGTGGATCCCTAAACCCTAAACCACTATGAAGCGCGAAGACCACCTGGCCGATGTGGCTTTCGTAGTTCTCTAAATTGTGGTCCCTTTTAGGATCCTTTTCACAAGGATGGTGACGTAAAGCCGGACTCTAATTTAGAGAACTACCCATACATGGGTATTGGGAATGAGGTGTCTAGGTTTGCGGTGTTAGGCTGAGGAGGACCTTTGAGGATCCAGACCTTCTCAATACGGTCCCTGCTACAGTAGAAGCCAGAAAGTTGGAATATCATTATCCTAAACCCTTTATGGTATATTATAGGGTATCCTACCCTGAAACCATATTCCAACTTTCTGGAGTTCCCTGTAATTCAGAGAACCAGAAGTAATGAGGGTTTCAATTTAAAGGGTTCTAAACCCTAAACCTCAAATTGTCAAACCCTAAACCCTAAAACCCAAACCCTATAAAATCCTAAACCCTAGTACTACCTGGGAGCTTTGCAGATTTTTGGATTCCGGCTCTAAAACTTCGAGCCAGCCGCGACTTGGGGCTTTGGAGGCTGCTTGTGCCCAGAAAGCTTGAGCACTCCCAGCGGTTTGTTTGGGGTTTAGGGTTCGGGTTTAGGCTTCAAGACTAGGGTGTTTTGAGGGGTCTTGACCATTGCTAAGGCTTTAGGTGCGTGGGGTTTCGTGTTCGGGGAGTTCTGCATCCCAAAGCCAATATGTAGTCATGTGACAGCAACCGCAGCAAGCTTTAGAAATCAAAGCTCATGTAGTCTTGACCTGTGCAGAGAGTTATGTCATCAAGCCCAATGCCTCATCCCGGAGCCCGACGACCCTACTGCTTTCGTAATAGCTATCATCTACCCTAAACCCTAAACCCTAAACCCTAAATCCTAAACCCTAAACCCTAAACCCTGCCCTAAGCCCGAAGCCTTGGAAAAAAACCCAGAGCGCTGAACCCGAAAGCTCCAAACCTAAGTCGTACCCCCTTATAGAAACCGAGGAATCTGAAAAAAAACACCCCCTGAAGGCTTTGTTGCTGAGTTCCTAAGCCCCCAAAAAGTGTACACTTTCAGTTTTATAGTGGCTAGTATTATCCCAACAACTGTAAAGAGTGTATCCACTCAGCTATACTACCCAGAGACTCCAATATCCCTTAATTAGGGAATATATCTTAAATCATATCCTTAATATGATTTAAGGTACATTCCCTAATTAAGGGATATTGGAGTCGCTGGGTAAGAAGGGCTTTTTTGCCAGAGCCCTGCCTGGCCGTTGTCGGCGGCAGCTATGGCTTTGAAGTCCGGCGCATTGACGCATGCGGCGGCGCCTGAAAAGCACAATTGCTGCAGGGGCACGCAAACCCTGAAGCCGTCGCACCCCAAACCCTCAACCGCAAACCCGACAACTTCAAATCTTAAAGACCTCAAACCCCAAATCAAAAGCCGCAGACCTAACAACTAAAACTCAGAACACGCCCCAAAGCAGTTACGAATAAAACAGCTAAGGCTAAACCCTGAGACACGTGCCCGGCCTCTGTCGGATAGCTTCTTGACCTGCTGCTACGTGCACACATGTTTGGTGCTTCAGAGTTTGGTGAGGACTGTAGGTTTTTTTTAGTTTGCTCCTTAGAACCAGGATGCGGTTTGGGGCTTATGGTCTAAACCTTAGGATGTTGTTCTGGTGCTTGGGTCTTGGAGTCCGGAAAAAAGGGCTTGAGTGCCGGATTGAGTGTCTAGGTCCTTCCTCCAGATCAGTCGCGCAATGAAGCAGGGGCCCGTCACACGAGTTTCAGATATGGGAGTACCCTATTTGGGGGTCCTTATAATAAGGATCCTACTATTTTGGGTACTATATCAGGATCCCCTATTTTCGGAAACTCCCATATACCTTCTTTGTGTGATGACGCGTATGCACACGGGCAGCGGCTCTCCAGGGGATCCAGAAGGTTTAGAGGCCTTAAAACTCTAGCCTATGTAGCCTAGACCCAAGAGTAGCCTAGGAATAAAAGGGGTGCCCTTTTTGGTTTAAAGGGGCTTAATAAGGGAACCAGAACCCGAAAAAAGGGAATAAGGGCTTACTCTGGGTCCTATAGAGCCTATGTAGCTGCTTTTGAGGAAGGGGCTGGGTGGGAAATTCACTTTAGCTATGTCCAGGAACCCTCCGTGGCGTGGTTCAGGATGTAGGGATGGGTGACTTGGGGCCTACTCCCAACACAAGCAGTTTAGCCTGGGTGCACCAACATTTCGTCGGCCAAACCCGAAACCCTAAACCCCGAAACCCTGAACCCTAAACCCCCAAACCCCTAAACCCCAAACCCCCTAAAAGCCCTAAACCCTGGACCTGAAACTGCAAAAGCACCCGGCCCCGCCCAAATTTAAAACCCTGAGCCTCAAAACCGGCCTTGTGAAGCACTTGGGATAATACACAGGGTTTAGGGTTAAGGGATCCATACAACCTTGAACTCTCAACCGGCGAGGATTTTGCTTTTGGGTTTAGGCTTTGGTGGTTTAGGGTTAATATAGGGGCCTTAATAATTACCTATACTGTTTTGTTATTAAGGCCCCCACAGTACACAGGGGTTTAGGACTATACGGGGAAATTCTCAACAGTTTGCCCCGAACCCAAAACCCAAGGATCACCAGCGATTTGATCCTTTCTGCTCCCACCTCGCCATAAGACTGTGGGTGAGTGTCCTGGAAACAGACTGACGAGCCAAAAGACATGTGCTTTAAGGTTCCGGCTGGATGCTTGCAGTATGAGTGATGCTGCTCTGGCGGCTGCTCTTGACTACGAGTGTTTAAGACATTGGCATCGCCGGTGCGACTATCACTACTACGGTTGATGATATAAATCCTGCATTACCTTAAGGGCCCTAAACTATGGGAATTATGGTATATTCCTTATTTAGGGTAATGCAGGATTTATATCATCAACAGTAGTACTGTATCACTGTAGCTGCTACCACCACCACCACGGCGACGAGGAGATGAGAGAAGCCCATCTCCCCAGCGGTTAGCGTTTAGGGTTAGGTTTCAAGTGGGTCGGCATAAGCATGCTTGGGGGTTCATGGGTAGCTATAAGTAAGGTTATAAGTGGGGTAACTACACTTATAACCCATATTAATTAAGGGACTTATAACCCTACTTAAAACGACCCATGATCCTCCAAGTGATGTATACGAATCACGCTCCTTCGCATGCTCCATACCGGCGATCACACAGTCCTCGGCGCGGTTGACCAGAAGTGTGCGTAAAGGTTGGGCGAGGGTGGGCAGGGCTCGGAAGGCAAGTACTGCAATCCTTTCACGTGCCTTTATGCCAGGGTTTATAGGGTTGAGGGTCACCTGTAGACGCCCAAGGCCAAAAGCCCCGAAACTTCTGAACCCCAAACCTCAGCAAAGATATCCTACCTTTCACTCGCCCCAGACCCTAAACCCTAAGCCCTAAACCCTAAACCCTAAGCCCTAAACCCTAAGCCCTAAACCCTAAACCCTAAGCCCTAGACCCTAAGCCCTAAACCCTAAGCCCTAAACCCTAAGCCCTAAACCCTAAGCCCTAAACCCTAAGCCCTAAACCCTAAACCCTCAGCCCTAAACCCTAAGCCCTAAGCCCTAAGCCCTAAACCCTAAGCCCCAAGCCCTAAGCCCTATACCCCGGACTCCAGGGCCTGGCTTTGGACCGAAGGACCGGGCAATCATGACTGACTTTAGAGTTGAAGGTGTGAGTCTAGGGTTTAGGGGTTTAGGGTTTAGGGTCTAGGGTTATGGGGGTTTAGGGTTTAGGGTTTAGGGTTATGGGGGTTTAGGGTTTAGGGTTGAGGGGCCTGGGCTTATGGGGGTTTAGGGGTTTAGGGTTCAAGGGTTTAGGGTTCCCGGTGTGAGTTTCAGGTTCACGAAGTCCGGTTTTATTTGGACTTGGGGTAAGCTGTAAGCTATCTAGCTGAGCAGGTGGAACTATCTGCCGGTTTTTGCACTCTGCGACCTTGTTTTGTCCAAGAGGGGTGGCTGCTTATACCTGTAGTCACCAGCTCAAGATATAGAGCGGCTGCAGCAAGAACTTTCGTGACTACACCGATTCTCTCTGCTACACTGGCGACAAGGTAAGCTCGCAGCGATCCCGCCATCATGCAGCTTCTGCCAATAGAGGCCTCGCAATCTCAAACCTTCCGTACCCTAAGCCCTAAGCTCTTCAGGTTTTGGCCCCAAGCCTTTCATCGCAGACCTGTCAAAGAACCTGACCCTGAACCCTTGAACTGTGATAAACACAAGCCCACCATTGCCAAGGCCTAAACATGGCAGTCTTACAACTCATGGCTTGAAACGACAACCCCATAAAACTTAAACGTATCTAAACGCTAAACCCTTCCACGACTACCGCCATGCCTACTTCTGCTCCCCTACCTCTACCTCGACCTCCACCTCTACCCGCGCCTCCACTTCTACCACTACCACTACTACTACCACAACTAGCAGCACCACCACCACTACCACCACTGCCACAAGTAACAACACTGCCACCGCTATAACCACTTGCACCACTGCCACCAGTATGACTACCCAAGCCTAAACGTAACACCATGAACCAATATAACATCATATAAGGGATCCTACCATAATTTAAGGAATATTCCCTAATTAAGGGATATTGGAGTCTCTGGGAACACAAAAAAAGCAAGGAAATCCAGATCTGATGCCTGTGATCTGGCCCCACATCTTCTCAAGCAGCGCAGAAGGGGAGGTGCTGCCGTCCTCAGGGCCACCATCTAGGGCTTCGGGTTGCCCAGACCCCAAGCCCGAAACCCTAGTGCTTTTGGGCCCTAAACCCTGCAAAATAAAACCTCTAAGCCTAAAGCATGTGGCGTCTAGGGTATATGATGATTAAGACATTATTGCTGCTATGGGTGCCGTTGTTGCTTGGTAGTGGTGTTATTGTCAAACAAGTCCTCATCATTCTTATCATAAGGACCCTTACAGGGGTAGGGGGCCTTAATACCCATAATAAGGACTTAATAAGGCCTGGTTAAGGAAGTATAGTCCCTTACCCCCTCCCCCTTACACCCCTTCGGGTCCCTCTGATCTTATGACCATTGGCCTCAGCTCCGGCCCCATAATATTCCCTCCACGTCTGACTCCCCGGTGCTCCTCCGACCTGACCATTATGATATACGTAGGCGCCGTTATAATTAGAACAGGGTTTTGGGGCCCAATATACTATAATTGTAATAAGCAACCCCCAAAACACTATTGCTTATTTTTTGGGCCTCTATATTAGGTCCTTAAGCGAGGTGGTTCAGGGATTAGACGGTTGCATATCCCCCATGGAGCCCCCTCCCATAAGCATACTATAACGACCAACATGCTGGAGTCACACAAAGCACAGTTAACCACCTAACTTCAAGACCGATGAAGACTGCTGGGTGCGCTGGGTGCGTGCTACACTTCTAGTACAAACAGTGCCGATTACAAGGGACAGTAAGAACAGCAATGGCAGCGACGACGAAAGTACCTTGGTGTAGAGAAAGCCTTCAACCCTAAACACTAAACCCTAAACCCCAAACCCTAAACCCTAAACCCCAACCCTAAACCCTAAACCCCAAACCCTGAACTCTAAACCCTAAACCCAGCAAAGCCACTCGTTTTGCGAGCTCGCTCTCCCAAAACTCAACGGCCAGCGTCAGTTTGAGCCTACAGGGGATGTCATCCAGACAGGAGTTTCCGAAAATAGGGGACCCTAATATACATAGTACCCCACATTTTAGGATCCTTATTCTAAGGACCCCCCGAGTAGCGTACCCCTAGTTTTCGGAAACTCCTAAGCCCTAAACCCTTTATAGAACCCTTATAGATTTAAAGGAACCCCGTAAAGGATCCCTTTAAAGGTAACTCTCAGATTGCGTCTGGATCTAGACCCAAGAGTAGCCTAGGAATAAAAAGGGTGCCCTTTTTAGTTTAAAGGGGCTTATAAGGGAACCTGAACCCCCAAAAAGGGAATAAGGGCTTACTCTAGGTCCTAGGGATGTAGCACACTGAAAGACCTCTCGACTCTGTAGTTGGCTCAATCCTCATGGTCATTCTCCGACTGTGCACATTCCCAGAGAGCCCAATACCCCTGAATTAGGAATATGCCTCAAATTATAAGGGGATTCTTATTATGATTTAAGCCATATTCCTTGATTAAGGAGTATTGGGCTCTCTGGGATTGCTGGAGCCCGAGTCATTAGAATAGGGTTTGGGGGTATGCTATGCTTTTCAATTAGGAACGCCTCAAAACAGTGTGCGTAAAGATTAAGGCCCCTCTGTACATAGGGCCCACCCAGAGGTCAACAGCCACACCGGCAAGTAGCTCATGTATCTCCATTCCTCATCCTCGACGCTGACTTTCAGTGTAACCGCCAGGTTGCTCAAGAGCACCTCCCGGTGGACCTGGACCTGCGCCGCATCGGACTCAAAGAAAAGAAGCTCCGGGCTTATAAACGTGTCACCGAGCAGGCGATCAACCCAATAAGGCGTCTGTGGAGAATTTCCAGGTTTGAGCCCTCTTGGAATTGCCACTGAGCGCTTCGGGGACTTGCACCCGAGATAGAAATTCAATTGCGACCCATGGGACCGCTCGGAACTGACGACGAGGTTTAGGGTTTAGGGTTTAGGGTTTAGGGTTTAGGGTTTAGGGGTTTAGGGTTTAGGGTTTAGGGTTTAGGGCCAGGTCACCACGCGGCCGGATTCAACAGTGAGGCATTCAGGCCTCCATGCCAGCGCCTCAGGTGCTTTAACGTACGTAGCCCAGCAGTGCTCCACGGGAACCGTATGGTTTAAAGCCCATTGGGCCGTCAGCGCCTCCTCTTCAAACTGGTTAAAGAGTGCCCGATGAGCATCTGGCCCCAACGCGTGAAAGGTAACGCTGCGGTAGATCCGCGAGCTTAGGCGAACCCACCAGTCAGCCTCATATGTGGCGATGAGGCGTAGTAACTTTACGAGGAGAATAGGGTTCCTTTGAAAGGGTCTATACGGGATACTATAAGGGATCTGTAAGAGTACTATAATGTAGGGTCTTAATAATTAGAAGAGTGTTTTGGGGTACAGTATATTCTGATATTCTCGCTACAGCTAATATTAAGGAACCCCAAATAGTGTTAAGTATTTATGCTTCCATAGTAGTAACCTTCCCAGCCAAGCCGACACGATTTTGGGGCATGTTCTACTAACAACAAGGAACCCCAAAATGGTGGGGTAGCTATTTTTGGTCCTTATGTTAGAGCCACGGTTTAGGGTTTAGGGCATAGGGTTTAGGGTTCAGAGTTTAAGGGTTCCTAGCCAAGCCACACAATTTCAAAAGCATGGGTTCCTTACTGCATTGGGTGGCTTCCTTTGCTCGAGCGAGCCTGGGACAAACCTGGGTTCAGGGGTTTAGGGGTTAGGCTTTCGCGTTTGGGGCTTCGGATTTAGGGCCGTTTAGGATCTTCGGATTTAGGTCGGAAGGCCCGAACAGAGAACCCAAAACCCCCAATCCACCATCCTCAAACGGTTTGAGATTCATTGAGGATCTTCGTGTACAGGTTCCAGGGATACAGGCAGAAGGTCAACAGGGATTGTACGGTTTCTTGCCGGTCGGACAAACTATAAACAAAATGCCCGTATGTATTTTATACATACTAGCAGGTCTTGATATAGCCCATATACTCTATGTACTAACATATCATGATATAGCCCTGAATCCCATTCCACTCATTGATGCCCCTATCTTCTGGTGCTTTTGATGCCGCCAAACCTAAAGGAACCCTGATAGATCCCTTGAAGGCACCTTGAAAGCCCGATGCTCTCCCCCGAGTTCTCCCCAAAACCCTTAAACCCCAAAACCCCTAAACCCTGACTAAGCAGTGGTTTTGGGATTCCCTTGGCTCTTTAGCTCCTTCTTTAATAGGAATTATCATGATCCCTGGCTCCTTAGCTCCCCCAACATCAATGGTTAGCTGAACCCTGAACCCCAAACCCTAAACCCCAAAACAGCACGCGCCCTCCAGCGTCGAGCAGGGAGAATCTCTTCAGGGCGTTGCCGACGGCGGGGTGGGCTCGCAACTGCGCCTGGTTTTCCTAGTCTCCATTGTAGTTAGTCTCCATTGTAGTTCCTTTTTGGGCGATACCTTCGAAGGTCCTAAATAAAATGGGCTAAACCAAAACAAAAGTAATTACAATCGAGACTATAGGTATCTTTGTCGTTTGAGGGTTCTCTGTGGTTTTGTTTCAATCGGAATGGGTTTAGGGTCTAGGGGTTTTGTAGGGATTCAGAAGGTTGTTTGGGTTTTGGACAGGGCGTGTATGAGGTTGTTGTCTGTAGGGCTTGATGCAACCACCATAAGAATCGCAATAGGTATTTGACGGGCTTTTTTGAGTAGGGGCCTTTGTGCTAGAATACGCTTCTGGTTTTGGGTATAGTAGAGTAGAGCCCATATTTGTGCACATGTACAAGCCTATCAAACCTGGCAGGGTTTGGGTTTTGGGCCTCACGCAACCCAAAAAACGTACCTGTAGTCTCCATTGTAGTTCCGTGTTTGATTAAGCCCATTTTGTATTTAGGATCCTGTAAGGCAACCCCAAAAAAGGCACCACAATGAAGACTGTGGGTATAGCTTCCATCGTACAGTCAGGAACTGCGGCTTGGGCGTTGTGCAAACGGAGGAGGCGCTTTGTTCAACCATCCTTTCTGAACCCGAAACCCAAGCCCATCTGACCCAAAGCCCTGAACCCTCAACGTGCTCTAAACCCTCAAAAAAACCTGAAACCAGAACCGGCTGCCACAGCAGCACTCACACAAGTCCCATGTTCCAGCCTCCACAGGTTCGCTATCCTATCAGAGCTCACCCAGAGATCCCAGTACCCCTTGATTAAGGTATACCTTAAATCATAATATTAAGGCCTCTATCATTTAAGATATATTCCTTAATTAAGGGTTATTGGGTTCTATGGGCAAGGCATCCAAAGCGCTTCGAGCTTTGTCGTTTGGACGTTGAAATATGACGGTTGCCACATCTCACAGAAGGGCGTGCGGTGATGTAGGGGCCTCAATAATTAGATAGGGCTCTTTACTGTTGTGATAGGGAACCCCCAACATAGTATTGGTAATTACTTAGGCCCCTATTACCTGCAGCATGGCTCAGGGTTTGCTGGTGTTCAAGACTTAGCGCTGAGGCGGTGAGATTAAACCCATCGATCTCAGACGACCTGCAGTGACAAGCTCAGAGCTAAGAGCGCGGGACTTAATATTCTAGGGGACTGAATATTTACCAATCCTATTTTGGTGCTTCCTTGTTATCATTATCGTACCATGTGCCTCCCCATTCTAACTGTTAATGTATAAGGCCCCTGTACTAGGTGCAACCACTTGCATTCCACTCAACCCGTAAAACCACGAGCACCCAAGCCCAAAAGCATTCCTGAAACGTCCAAGACAAGCCCTCGCACCCTACTGCAAGCCCTCAAGCCTTACAGCTCTACTAAATCCTGAGCCCTAAAGCCCACACGCCCTCAGCCTCAAACCCTGAAACCCTGAGCCCCAAACCCTAAACTTGCCCGAACCACATAGTAGGCCTCATGATATCTTCTAGTAACCCTCAATGACCCAAAACACCCTCGTAATATACGGGCCTTAATAATTAGAATAGGATTTTGGGGCCCACTTTACTATAATTACAAGAAGGAGCCCCCAAAATAGTATTGGTACTTACTTAGGCCCCTACACTAAATCCTTCTAACAGCCTTTATAGACCCCTGTAAAGGAACCCCCAAACTAGTATTACCCAGAGGCCCCAAAGTAGTTCCTTTTTGGGATTACCCTAGAGGATTCTATATACGAACCCCAAAAAGGAACTACTTTGGGGCCTTTGGGTAGTACTCACTAAGGCCCCAAACCACCCTAAACCCTAAACCCCTAAACCCTAAACCCCTAAAACCCTAAACCCTAAACCCTGTTAAGGCCCCCCAAATAACCATCCGCAGCTGTCCTTAGCGTAGCCCCCGCCAGGCTTCGGGCTGCCTGCTTAGGGCTTTAGGGGTTTAGGGGTTTAGGATTAGGGGTTTAGGATTAGGGGTATGGGGGTTTAGGGTATAGTTGCTTAGGGGTTTAGGGGTTTAGGATTTGGGGTATAGGAGTTTAGGGGCTTAGGGCTTTAGGGTTTAGGGGTGTAGGGGTATAGGGGTTTACGGTATTGGGGTTAGGGTATAGGGCTTGAGGGCCTCGGGGGCTTTAGGACTTCAGGGCTTTTGGGGTGTTAGGGCTTTTGGTGGTTCAGGTTTTAGGGCTATTTTTTAAGGCTTTCGGGTCTTAGGGTGTTTAGGGCTTTCGTGTTTAGGGGTCCAGGTAGGAGCTTGGGGGTTCAGAGGTGTAAGGGTTCAGGGCGGTGGGGTTCAATAAGGTTTAGGGTTTGGGGTTTAGGGAGGTGGGGCTTAGGGGTTTAGGGTTTAGGGTGGTTTAGGGTTTAGGGTTTAGGGTTTTGGGTTTGGGGTGGTTTGGGGTTTAGGGTTTAGACGTTTAGGGGTTACCTCGACCTGAGACAGAACCCAATGCTGGCTTGCGGTTTGCTTGCAGGATGTGGGGTGTAATCTCTGACTTTAAATAGCCATTAAAACCTATAAACCCTACACCCTAAACCATTTGTACATGTAGATGCCGAACATATCCTACTTGCCGGGTATCATGGGGAACTGAAGGTTCCTGTAACCTTTTTGGTTATATAGGGGATATATAGGGACTATACTACCCAAAAAAGCTTAACTGGGTTGCTTTAAACCCTTTGAAAATTATTTATGAATAGCTTCCCTTTATAAGAGAATAAAGAAAACTAAAAATTCTCCCAAAGCACAACCCGTTACTTACTCTACTACTGGGATATCTATCATCCAGAGAAACCTCTAGGGCTTGGGACGTTAAGAGTTGAGGACTTTTTGGGTCTAGGGCTCTTCGGCTTTCTTGGGTTTAGGGTTTAGGGTTTAGGGCTTTAGGGCTTTAGGGTTTAGGGTTTAGGGTTCGGGGGTTCAGGGTTTAGGGTTCGGCTTTCTTGGGTGTAGGGTTCTGGGGTGTAGGATTTCTTCTTCTCGGCGAGTCTCAAGCAACGCTGGCGCTCAAAAACATGCAAGCATGAAGAGAACATGCCTCAACCCTAAACCCTAAACCCCAAACCCTAGACCCTAAACTCCTAAACCAAGTAAGCGAGGCCTCAAGGGGTGTCGGGGTAAGTCTTGCTGTTCCCATGTGCAAGCCGGACCACGGTCGATGGTCAATCGCTGTTCGGCCTCTAGTCTGCTTCATCCTCTTCCGTTCTCGTGGCTTTCTTGATCTGGTCGTCGTGCTTGACGAGCAGATCGACCAACATGCATGAAAATTGGCACCGCTTTTGTGGCCCTTTCTTCCTCCGACCCGTCTTGGGGGCGAACTTCAGCGCCCGGTCCACGTACGTAGGGTTGTCCTTCAGGAACTTCTGGACGTCCCCTTCATTGTCGAAGATTGGCCCTCGAACTGGAATCTCATGGCCCATCTTGATCCTCAGAAGCAAGGCATGAAACAGGGAAGGCTCCAGAAAAGCAAGGCAAACAAAGTCCTGTCTGCAATCAGTACAACAGCTTCCCAAGACCCTAAACCCCTAAACCCCAAACCTAACCCACTTTACGCCAAACCACTGAACTCTCAACCCTCAACCACTAAACCCCAAACCCTGAAGCCCTAAAGCCTAAAACCCCAAAACCTAAACCCTAAACCCGAAATCTTTAAACCTGAACCAAATGGAGGTGTCGGCCGGATGGCGGGACAGAGATCAGAGACCATGCCTCTGGGACAGCGAGTCCGATCTGTTTTAGGGTTAGGGTTTCGGGTTTAGGGTTTTGGTTCAGGGTTCAAGGTTTAGGGCTTAGGGTTTAGGGTTCTACGTTGCAGGGCAAATGGTCTACATCTCGGTTTCGCAAATATGAAGCACGAAGTCATTGAAAGCTTTGGCGGTCTGAGTCACCCCCAAACGATGCTGAGCCAGGCTGGGGATACAAGAAACGCGGACACCGCAATGCTCAAGCTCCAATCAGGAAGCCGAAAAGCCAAAGCCTCACATAATCTCAACACTTCATTCCTGTACCACTCCTTAAGAATCCTTCGAAAGCCGTATAACCTCTTACAAAACAAAATATTTGATGAGATGCCACGCTCGAAGGCCTCATGCTGCGATCCGTCCTACTAGAAGGACAAACCTGATCTAAATCCTCATGACTCATGCCTCTAGGTTGGCCCTTTAAAGCCTCTGAAAAATATTCGTAAACAGGGTCCTATTAAGCCCAATAAGGGAAAATATAAAATGTCCCAAAGGCCTACCTAGCGTCCGCATTTCATGTCCCACCTCGCTCTAATGCAGCTCCTTTGCTTGATCTCAATGTCCTCTATAGGCTTAGTTGCTGAGTTCATAGGCCCCAAAGAGTGTACACTTTCAGTTTTATAGTGGGTAGTATTATCCCAAAAAGTGTATAGTGTATCCACTCAGCTACTAAGTAGGATCTATGCATCTGCTTAGCCGAGAACAGGCACGATAGTGAAAAGATGAAGAAGGTATAGGCACTTCCTAACCCCACATCTGAATCCCTAACCCCTAAGCCCAAAAAAACAGAAGGACCTAAAGCCGCGAGAGGCCCTACTGCCCTACTGCAAACCACCCGTAAACCCAAGACCAAACTCCGAAACCGACCCCCGAACCGAAGCCGACGTCACCTTTCAGCGCCACCTCCAACGCGGAGGCCTTGCCAGAAAGTTTCAGTCTGCGGCACGCTTCCAAAGAACATCCCGTCATCTTCCCAATGTATGGTTACACAGTATCGCTTGATATACCCCAAAGGTCGGGGGGGCCTCGATGAAGGAAGGTAGGATTCAGCATCCCTTCAAAAAATGAGGACACCCATGGGAGTTGGGATTAGGGGGACCCTTGGAATAATATAGACCCTCTCAACAACGTCCCTTTCAAAAGAGCCAGAAGAAGGGTTAAGAAGGGTCCCCTTGAAGGACCCTTGGAGTGGGTATTTAGGGTATATTAGAGGGTACTTGGGGGGTCTCGGTAGACCCAGAATAATGAGCATCCTTTTCAATATCCTTTGGGTCTAGATTATGACCAGATTGAAGAACACGTAATGTGCTTCATAAGGCCCCGAATGATGGCCCCAGTATGATCTCTCTATATGGGAGTTTCCGAAAGTAGGGGACCCTAATATAATACCCTAAATAGTAGGGATCCTTAAAGGACCCCAGAATAAGGTACCCCTAGTTTTCAGAAACTCCCATATAGCGCCCTTATGCCTCTCCTTGAAGCGGCATCTACTATTCCCAGAGACTCCAATATCCCTTAATTAGGGAATATACCTTAAATTATAGTAGGATCCTTAATATGATTTAAGGTATATTCCCTAAATAAGGAATATTGGAGTCTCTGGGTTGACTGCAGCTCATGTCCTTATGTTGCCAGGAGGCCCTGGATGACCTCAAGGGGTTTCCATTCTCGCTTCTGCTGTGAAATCCTTGGAGGTTTAGGGTTTAGGGTTTAGGGTTTAGGGTTTCGCCTACCACTAAGGAACAATTAGCTAGGAGGCCCGGTAACCTAGGAACAAAAAAAGCTCCTTTTTGGGTATTGGGTAACTGTATAAGGAGCCGAGGACTACAAAAAGGGAAAAGGGGCCCACTGGGAGGCCTAGTTAGGGAACAGACCATTAAGGGCAATAAAGATCGAGTCAGCAAGGTTGACACCAACATCATCACTGTCCCTGACTCCTGACCTTCAGCAAGGAAGTGTGACGATCACCCCTGTCGCCAAAACAAGCCTCCATGACGGTGACCGGAAGTGTCCCCCTAGGCCCTCCTGAACCCTCAACACCAAACCCTCAACCCTCAACCCTAAACCCTCAACCCTCAACCCTACACCCTCAACCCCAAACCCTAAACCCTATACCCTCAACCCTAAACCCTAGGCCCTAAACCCTATAACCTCAACCCTAAACCCTAGGCCCTAAACCCTATACCCTCAACCCTAAACTTCCTAAACCCTCAACCCGAAACCCTAAACCCTCGACCCTACAGGCCCAGCCTTCACTTTCCCCAGGGACTTCGCATTAAACACATCGAAGTTGCCAACGCCTCAGATTTGGGCGCTTTTTTCCACTTTCCGGCTCGATGACGCCAGTCCCTTAAACCTGAAACTCTCCGAAGGTCGTGCCTTTTGTGTACATTAAGATTTAGGTTTAGGGTTTGGACTTTAAGGGCTTTGCCTTCGAATTCTAGCACTGTTGCAACGGGCACATCGTCTTCGCAACCATCTGTACGAAAAAAGTCGACCCGAATGACGAAACGTCTTCTTGCCACGCGTGAGTCTTCAGTCGATGAAGCACGGCAGTGTAGATTTTATGGGTTCCGAGTATCCGTCCAGCACGACTGACTCGCTGGTATGTCGTGTTGAGATGGGAGTTTCCGAGAATAGGGGATCCTAATATAGTACCCTAAATAGTAGGATCCTATTATAAGGACTCCCAAATAAGGTACCCCTAATTTTCGGAAACTGCCATGTCGTTTTGAGATGGGGTCTTGCCATGCTACAGTCCGAGCTGTTGGAATACCATACAACCGCGCCATGCAACGAAGAAAACTACATGGGAGTCCCGAAAATTCGGGGTACCTACTTTTGGGGTCGTTATAATAAGGATCCGACTATTTAGGGTACTATATTGGGGTCACTTATTTCGGAAACTCCCACATGAACGACGAAGCTCTCATATTGCAGTACAGAACGAATTCCCTGCCTCGATTTTGCGTGAGATGGCTTGCCGGCTTCTCGTTTTGACGGAAGACGATGCCTTAAATTCCAGAACCTAAATCCAGCCTCCGGGTTTCAACACGGAGCTCGTGAACGCCGAACTCAACTGTATCGAGTTAGGGTTCCGGGTTTAGGGTTTAAGGTTTAGTTTAGGGTTTAGGGATTAGCGGCTTTAGGGATTAGGGCTACCCCTGGCCAACGAATCCGTCATGTGATCTAGTGCCTACTGTGAAAGCTGCTCGAATCCAACTCGTTCTGACAGGCTGCTGCAGCCTCAAACATCACTGTCAAACTTTGAGCCCTTGACACGATGTCCCAACCCCACTTTCTAGAATGAACAGTGACAGGGCACCTTTGACGGCGAAATACAACGGGACCACGTAGCCCTGCGCAGCCGGTCAAGAGTTATCCGAATCCGATAGCCCGAATCGCGCGCTATGGGCCGAACCCTCCCCGAACAAAGTCACCAACAGGTGTTGATTCAAGCAGCTACCCAGGTCTTGTCTTGCTGCTGCCCATGCACAGGACAACCGGACTCGTTCGCGGCACAGCCGACCGAAATACAAACGAGAAATGTCAAGACAGAAACCCTAAACCTTAAACCCTAAATCCTAAACATGCGTAAATCCTAAGCCTTAGACCCGAACCCTAAATACCCAACCCTGAACCCCTAAACCCACAAAACCCAAAGACAGAGACCCGTGGCCGATCGAGCCTGGCCCTGCACCCACTTCGAGCATCTACAGCCATTGGCTCGGACGTTCACGTGGAGACCTGGTGCAAATTGGGTCAGTAGGCATTACCCAAACACGCGCAGATGCTGCACGACTTGAGTTGCATGAAAGCTTTCATGGACTAGCTTAGTATTGGGATTTGGGGTTTCGGGGCTGTCAGTAAGTATAATATTAGGATTTGTGGTTTGGGGGCTTATAGTTGCTATTAATATTAGGATTTTGGGGTTTAGGGCTTATAGTTAATATTATTATTATTATTAGGACTTGGGGTTGGGGGGCATATGGTACTTCTTAGTATTAGGATTTGAGGTTTAGGGGCTTGTGGTACTTATTAGCATTAGGATATGGTGGTGTAGGGTCTTATGGTGATTATGGGATTTCGGGCTTCTACAATGTAGGGTGCACGACGAAGCCAGCGTGTACTTCCAGGTAGGGATAGTGGGGTTTAGGATTTGGGGCTATATGGAGTCAGGGTGTAGGACTTCAGAGGTGTAGGGCATCTGCGAGTAACACTGGGGTCAGCAGACACACCTTCAAACTGGGGAGCGCAATGCACAAAAAAAAGTTGAACCAGCCTGCTTCCTCACTTAATTACATCCCTGCCCACGGCCACTGGTCCTGCACAATCCACAAGTGCCCTAAACCCTATAAACCCTAAACCCAAAACCCTAAGCCCCTGAAGAGCACGGCTTCGAGCAACAGCATCTTGCGCGCACCTGACTGTTGGAGTCCTTTCGCGATCTCCTGGACACCTTTGTCGACCACCGAAGGCCACAACATAGCGTTCCTCAGAAGGGTGGTGGGTTGCACTGACGACTGCTACTCTACTAAGTACTTGCAGGGCGTAGTTCTTTTACTATACGGACCCTGCCACTTTCTTGCTGCTAGCACAACTGCTACAAGTGCGGTTATGCCATGCATTATCGTGCCAACATGCTATCCACTCAGCTGTTGTACGTCGCCACTGTGTGTCCAGTACATTTCGTGTTGTAGCTGTAGCATCTTATGCCCTGATAGCAGGACTTCGGAATGATATGTCAATTTGCGCGAAACTTGCACGACTGCTTGCTGATGTTAAACGATGAAGTACAGCAGAGTGTGCGAACATCCGTAGTGCACTTATGCTGCACAGGTACTCTATGGCCAAAACACTGTCGGCACAAACTCTCCTGCAAGATTCTGCTGCTCCACTCGTTTCTAGCAGAGCCTACGATTTTTTGAAAATCGAACCATGGCTGCTACTACGCACATTGCCTCTGGCTTAGGAAAGCGACTACCTCTTATTCAATCACCTGTCTGTACTCTCCCTAGCCCTGTTTCTTCTTGAGGAACTTAATTTAAGTGATCGTGATGATAAGGAAGCCATCTGGGAGTTTCCGAAAATACAGAGGATCCTACTGTGATATAGTACCCTAAATATATAATAGGATCCTATTATAAGGACCCCAAAACAAGGTACCAAACAAATTTCGGAAACGCTGAACATTATAGAACCCTTATAGATGCCTTTAACGAACCCGTAAAGGATCCCTTTAAAGGAACCCCTAGTTTTCGGCAACTCCCATGTGGGGTCTAGGGTTTGGAGCTTTTTACACAGGCCTTACATTAGTTGAGCTGAGCAACAATAGTAACAGTCATCATGATACAACAGGTAGCAATCGTGGCACGTAGTGGGAACACACCAGGCAACTCCATTCTAACAGTGTTGTCTCCATGACCTGGCAGTGTGGGGTTGCCACAGCTTCCAGAATCTGCAAACCCTGAACCACCTGCAACCCCCAAATCAATCTCTAAAACCCCGGTTCCTTGTCGGATCTACTGTTGATCGACAAAATCCTCCATTACCCATTATAAGGAATATACCCTAGTTCCCATAGCTTAGAGTCCTTCAGGTCATGCAAGGTCTTGTCCATCAACAAGTATCACCCCGGCCCCATGTGACCCAGGATCCTCGGCACTAAGCCCCCGCAGCCAGGCCCTCGCATCCCCAATATTGACTGTAGTTAGGAGACCCGACGTCCTCCGATTTCTCTGAACTCTAACGCCTGAACCCTAAGCCCCTGAACCTAAACCCCCTAAACCCTAAACCCCTAAACCCTAAACCCCTGAACCCTAAACCGTAAGCCCTAAACCCTAAACCCCTAAGCCCCCAAACCCTAAACCCCCTTGAACCCCCTGAACCCTGTCGACTGTAGCCCAGATCACCTCCGAATTCCCAGAGACTCCAATATCCCTTAATTAAGGAATATACCCTAAATTATAGTAGGATCCAACTATATATAATATTGAGGTATATTCCCTAATTAAGGAATATAGGAGTCCCCTAAACCCTAAACCCTATAGATCCCTTGTAGGTCCCTTAAAGGGACCCTAGGTATTCCCTAATTAAGGAATATTCGAGTCTTTAGGTTCCCTAGGCTCCCGAGCACAAGGGAGCCAAAGACGAGCTCCACCTCGAAGCCGATGTCCTGCTCAAGGCTTTCGCCCAGAGACTCCAATATTCCTTAATTAGGGAATATTCCTTAAACCATATTAAGGATCCTACTATAATTTAAGGAATATTCCTTAATTAAGGTATATTGGAGTCTCTGGGCGGGCATGTGTCAGCAGGGTTTAGGGCTTAGGGGTGTAAGGTTTAGGGGTTTGGGGGTTTGGGGGTTTAGGGGTTGAGGGTTTTAGGGCTTTAGGGGTTAGGGTTTAGGGGTTTGGGGTTTAAGGGTTTGCACTTTAAGGTTTAGGGGTTCGGGTGTAGGGGTTTAGGTTTAGGGGTGTAGGGTTTAGGGGTTTAGGGGCTCAGGGGTTTAGGGTTTTAGGGTTTTAGGGTTTAGGGTTTAGGGTTTAGGGGTTAGACCCTGAGGAACCTACCTCTTTAGGGCTCCTTAGTATGATCTCCTTCTATAAGTCCTTAAAAGGGTAGATTATTCAGGGTACAGGTGTAGGGTTTAGGATTCATAACGGTTTGGGGTCTTACGACTTAGGGTGGAGTGATCAAGATGAGGCCATACAAGTTTATCAAAATAAGGATGTGCTATGGTTGCCCTTGTGAGAATGTTGACTATTGTTGAGCCGTCCCCAAGCCCAGCTGGCACACTAGTATGTTATACTGTACTGTAATTTTATAGGGCCTACCTAAAAGGGTACCTTACTACTAGTTTCGCACCTGGATAGGCTTCAGCAAGGGTTTACCTTGGGGGGCACCTGATTAAGCTTGCTTGAGGAGCTCAGGGTCTGAAATCCCCCCTGACTTCTTCTTCTTCTCGCTACTGTGCCGCGGCTTTCCAGAAACACCGCCTTTGACAAGAAAAGCGCCTCCAGCTTTGTCTCTGGCAAAAACCTCCGCGTTGGACAAAGACTCGGTTGTGGTACTAAAAACCTGCATGTCGCGCTCAAAAGCAGTCAAGGGGGCGATCCTCTCGATTTCCTCCCTCAACTTCTGCTTGCGCAGGAGATCGTCAGGAGTCAAATTCCCTTTGACAGTCAAGGCCAGCTTGTCGGCGTGCCCTCAAAAGTAGGTGCACATAGCACAACAAGCACCGGTCACAGCGGTCGCTCCGCACGCGCAAAACCTCGGCTTGTAATCGTCCTTGATCTTGACGTCAACACACGTACGAAAAGGGCGACATCTCTTCTCCTCCTCGGTGAGTACAGGCTTCGCCGGAGGAGGAGCGGGTGGTCTAATCCCAGAACCGTCGTGCCTCCGCATCTTGCTCCGCCTGTCGGAAAACGTCTTTCGGCATTCTCCCAGAGACTCCAATATCCCTTAATCAAGGAATATTCCTTGAATTATGGTAGGATCCCTTATATGATTTAAGGTATATTCCTTAATCAAGGGATATTAGAATCTCAGTCAGGCTTTAGGGTGCTACGTTTTCAGACGAGTCTTACAGCAGTGTGTGTGGCTTGGAAAGGAGACCGTCAAACCTATTCACTGTAGGGGCCTTAATAATTAGAATAGGGTTTGGGGGTACACCATACTACAACTACAATAAGGAGCCCCCCAAGATTAGAATAGGGTTTGGGGGTATACTATACTATAATTATAATAAGGAACACCCAAGACCCTACTATGATTATAATAGGGAGCCCCCAAGACCCTACTATAATTATAACAAGAAACCTCCAAGACCCTATTCTAATGATTCCGGCCCCTCCATTACCCAGAAAACAGCATGGAGATGCTCAGAAGAGGGTCGTTTAAGCTTTTCGTCGTTAGGGCTTTAGGCTGTAGAGCTTAAGGCAAATCTAAGCTGGTCTTTTAAAGCCTCTGCCAGATACTCGTCAATAAAATCCTCTCAAGCCCAGAAGGAAACACAGTGACCTGAAATATGCCAAAAGGCGTACCTAGTAAAAGAGCTTAGTGTCTGTGCTCGGATGGCGGAGTCGCAGGAAAACGATGCATCTAGTGGGGTTTAAGGTTTAGGGTTCAAGCTTAGGGTTTAGTTGAAGGGTTTAGGCTTTGGGTTTTGGGCAGAAATTCGAAGTCCCTCGACCAGTCCTGCGGGTATTCCATGTGGCGAAGATGAAACAAGCTCTGCCCAGAGACTCCAATATCCCTCAATTAAGGAATTTACTTTAAATTACGGTCGGATCCCAAAAATGATGTAAGGTATATTCCTTAACTAAGGAATATCGAAGTCCCCTAAACCCTAAACCCTATAGATCCCGTTAAGGAGCCCTAGGTATTCCATACGTAAGCGATATGGGAGTCTCTGTGCCCATGCTGCCCTACCGCCGACAGCCAATACCTGAACCTCAGACTCGAACCCTAAGCCCTCGAAGCTCCCGACCCCAAAGCCCTGCGACCGGAACAGCCCAAACCTAGGACTTTTGCGATGCTTGATCTTTCTGTCTAAAATGTTATAATGTCCTGTATGTATTATGAATATATATATATATATAAACACATAATCATACATACATCTATATATATATATATATATATATACATATAGAGAGAGAGAGGGGTTTGTTTGCTTGTTTAAACCCCAAAAATGAGAGCACCGGAAATCGAGGAGCCTCGCCAAGCGTGTTGCCCCAGGGCACGTGGTGGCCATCCTGGCTGACCTCCCAGAGACTCCAATATTCCTTAATTAGGGAATATACCTTAAATCATATTAAGGATCCTACTATAATTTAAGGAATATTCCTTAATTAAAGGATATTGGCGTCTCTGACCTCTTGATTCACAACGTCGCATGAACGACGACCAGCTTAGGGTTCAGGGCTTAAGGCTTACAGGTCTTAGGTTCAGGGTTTGTGCAGGGCTTAGTGGTTTAACCACTCTATAACTAATACTAGTTATAATAATACTGTAGTACTCAGAATACTGCTGATAATTAGTAACCAATACTACCTACAGATATGATAACACTCATCATACTTTTAATATTAATAGTAAACGTGAGTTTAGGCTTAGGGCGCTAGGGGCTCAAGGGCTCCAGGCTCAGAGCGTCTAGTTTAGGTACTGCCCCCATACAGTAAGAGTCTCTACTTGGAGGATCATGGGACTTAGTAAGTCAGGTTATAAGTACCTTAAGTGGGCTTATAAGTGCTTATAAGTATAGTTACCCTGTTTATAACCCCAGTTACTAAGTCCCATGATCCTATAAGTAATAGGGCTACTATTAAGGTCCTAGTATATCTATATGATGAATCTTATTCAACTATTACGGGGCCGTACCCAATGTATAGTGCTCTTGTGCTCTAGAGCTAAGCAAGAATGCCCAGTAAACTAGGAATAAAAAGGGCTCCCTTGTTGGTATTGGGTAACTTTATAAGGAACCTATGGAATAAGGGTACTACTGGGCATCCTAGTAAGAGTTGATGATACTATGGCTTAGCTGGGTTTTGATAAGGAGTTTACTATGAGTTACTATAATAGGGATCTAGAGTAAATAGCACGGTTTCTTATTTATGGCAAAATAAATTCAATCCCTTAATAAGAATCCAATCGGGGTTCAACATCACCACTACCAACAACGCCGCGTAAAGCAGCGCCATCGTCATCATACGGTTCCGCTTCTGCTGATTCTCGCTCTATGTATGAGTCTACACTCTACACCTTCTTCGAACGTCATCGTCCCCACCATCATCAGACAGCCATCCTCATCACCACCCGCTTCCGAGCTTTGTGAGAAGTCGAATTTCAGTCCTCGGGTTTGGGCTTCGCATGTGGGTGGCTGTCAAAATTATGATCCCTTTGTGGGGGTCCCTAATATAGTACGGCACCTATTATTTAGGGTACCCACAAAGGGACCCTCATTTTGACAGCTACCCATGTATGCTTCGGATCTAGCAGCCCTTCGTCCTGGTCCTGTCGGGTGGTCATCTCGGGTCTATTGGCTCGGACTCTACCCTGCACCCAGAACTCCAAACGCTAAATTTCAACCCTGAACCTTAAAACCTGAACCCGTAAATCCGTAAACTTACCTTTGGTTAGTGGGGAATGGAGGAATGGGGTAGAATTATAACTACTATTACTACCATTCTTCCATTCCCTACTAACCAAAGGTAGGTAAACACTACCCCAGACCTTAAGGACGAAATGAACCCTAAAAGGGTTTAAGGTTCATATACCATTATAGAGGTTCATAGTATATGGATTTAAGGCCCCTACTTTTAAGGGTCATTTGGTCCTTCAGGGACGTGTTGACCCTGTCATGGAGCTTTTCACTTCACTCTGAGGGCTCATGGCCTCTGGGGCGGGGGCTGGAAGTGTAAAACGGGTCTAGGTTTCAGGGCTTTGGAGCTATTTAACCTACCTGTCGGGTATCAAGGGGAACTAAAGGTTAACTTTTTTGGGTACATAGGGATTATATAGGGACTATACTACCCAAAAAAGGTCAAAGGTTACCTACTCTACTACTAGGTTAAGCTACAGTATATTTTTGCGGGGAATCCTCGAAGAATAGTCTATTCACTTTGAGCTCGGGTTGCCAAGTTGATCTTGTCCACGATTGTTTGAATGCTTCTTTTCCACCAAACAACAGCGCATTAAGAAATCTAGCGGCTGAGTTTCACATTTCAGAAGAGATGCCGGAGAAGACGCAACAACAATTACCACATCACTCCGATTTCATACGCAAGAAATCGAGGCCACAATTCGCTGAGAGCGAACCCTGAACAAGCCCATCAACCCTGCTTAAGAGGACTTTGGAAAGTCATACCATAAAGAACCATAACGCTCACAAAGGCGAGCAGAGCAATATGGTGCTGCAATCCCACCTTCACGCCCAAACCCTAGACCTGTTGCACTTAACCCACTGAACCCCAAGGTGCCTGAATCCTAAGCCCCACATGAGAACCCTAAACCCTAAGCCTCTAAACCCCTAAACCCTAAACCCCTTAACCCCTATAAACCCTAAACCCTAAACCCCTAAACACCAAACCCCAAACCCCTAAGCCCTAAACCGTAAACCCCTATAAACCCTAAACCCCTAAACCCTAAACCCCTAAGCCCTAAAGCACTCACGCCTGGCTCGCGATGTGAGGGGAGTCCCTTCGGACGGCTAGCGGAAGGGAGGCACAAGCCGCCAAAAGCAGCGCCTCTTGCACTCTAGGGTAGGGTTTCTGCTTGATGCGAATAAGGCTTAGAATAAGGAAGGGTTTAGGGATGTTTAGGGCTTAGGCTTTTAACGGACCTTACTAACCAGTGGTTTTGGGGTTCCCTTGGCTCTTTAGCTCCTTATTTAATAGGAATTCTCATGACCCCTGGCTCCTTAGCTCCCCCAATATCAATGGTTAGTTAGGCTTTTTGCCCTATCGATCCTTTAAACAACCTTAAGGATCCCTTTAAAAAGACCCTAAAGCTTAGCCCTCTAGACCCCTTAAAGGAACCCTTAAGGATCCCTTTAAAAGAACCCTAGATGGAGGATCATGGGATTTAGTAAGTAGGTTATAATTGGGGTTATAAGTCCCCTAAGTGGGGTTATCCTAATTATAACCTACTTATAACCTTACTTACTAAGTCCCATGAGCCTTCAAGTAGATGGGCTCAAGGACCAAGACGGCGCCCGCTCGGCCCGTGCAGGCGTTCAGATCATGAGGCTCGGGATCTCTCGCTCGAGGGCTAGGAGCCCTAAGCTTAGCTTAGGGTTTCCCTTAAGCTAACATAAACTTAGGGTTTCCTTAAACTAACATAACTTAGGGTTCTAACATAACTTAGGGTTTCCCTTAAGCTAACATAAACTTAGGGTTTCCTTAAACTAACATAACTTAGGGTTCTAACATAACTTAGGGTTTCCCTTCAGCTAACATAAACTTAGGGCTTCCTTAAACTAACATAACTTAGGGTTTCCCTTAAGCTAACATAATCTTAGGGTTTCCTTAAACTAACATAACTTAGGGTTTCCCTTAAGCTAACATAACTTAGGGCTTCCTTAAACTAACATAACTTAGGGTTTCCCTTAAGCTAACATAAACTTAGGGTTTCCTTAAACTAACATAACTTAGGGTTTCCCTTAAGCTAACATAACCTTAGGGTTTCCTTACACTAACATAACTTAGGGCTTCCTTAAACTAACATAACTTAGGGCTTCCTTAAACTAACATAACTTAGGGTTTCCCTTAAGCTAACATAGTCTTAGGGTTTCCTTAAACTAACATAACTTAGGGTTTCCCTTAAGCTAACATAATCTTAGGGTTTCTTACACTAACATAACTTAGGGTTTCCCTTAAGCTAACATAAACTTAGGGCTTCCTTAAACTAACATAACTTAGGGTTTCCCTTAAGCTAACATAACTTAGGGTTTCCCTTAAGCTAACATAAACTTAGGGCTTCCTTAAACTAACATAACTTAGGGTTTCCCTTAAGCTAACATAATCTTAGGGTTTCCTTAAACTAACATAAACTTAGGGTTTCCCTTAAGCTAACATAACTTAGGGTTTCCCTTAAACTAACATAACTTAGGGTTTCCCTTAAGCTAACATAAACTTAGGGTTTCCTTAAACTAACATAACTTAGGGTTTCCCTTAAGCTAACATAACTTAGGGTTTCCTTACACTAACATAACTTAGGGCTTCCTTAAACTAACATAACTTAGGGCTTTCTTAAACTAACATAACTTAGGGTTTCCCTTAAGCTAACATAGTCTTAGGGTTTCCTTAAACTAACATAACTTAGGGTTTCCCTTAAGCTAACATAACTTAGGGCTTCCTTAAACTAACATAACTTAGGGTTTCCCTTAAGCTAACATAAACTTAGGGCCTTAAACTAACATAACTTAGGGTTTCCCTTAAGCTAACATAACTTAACTTAGGGTTTCCCTTAAAACTAACATAACTTAGGGTTTCCCTTAAGCTAACATAGTCTTAGGGTTTCCTTAAACTAACATAACTTAGGGTTTCCCTTAAGCTAACATAACTTAGGGCTTCCTTAAACTAACATAACTTAGGGTTTCCCTTAAGCTAACATAAACTTAGGGCTTCCTTAAACTAACCTAACTTAGGGTTTCCCTTAAGCTAACACAATCTTAGGGTTTCCTTAAACTAACATAACTTAGGCTTTCCCTTAAGCTAACATAACTTAGGGTTTCCTTAAACTAACATAACTTAGGGTTTCCCTTAAGCTAACATAAACTTAGGGTTTCCCTTAAGCTAACATAACTTAGGGTTTCCCTTAAACTAACATAACTTAGGGTTTCCCTTAAGCTAACATAAACTTAGGGTTTCCTTAAACTAACATAACTTAAGGTTTCCCTTAAGCTAACATAACTTAGGGTTTCCTTAAACTAACATAACTTAGGGTTTCCCTTAAGCTAACATAAACTTAGGGTTTCCTTACACTAACATAACTTAGGGCTTCCTTAAACTAACATAACTTAGGGTTTCCTTAAACTAACATAACTTAGGGTTTCCTTAAACTAACATGACTTAGGGTTTCCTTAAACTAACAAAACTTACTTCTTTGTAGGTTGGTTTCGCCTCATGTAGAATCTTTTCGAAAGGTGGGTTGCGGTAGCTAAGGTAAGCGTGTGTTCGTTGGCTTCGGGGTGCTGGTGGCGCTGGGCATAGACATTTACCAGAATTCCGAATTGGAGTTCTTCTGGAACGAGCACCTCTTAAAATTCCGAGTCCTGGACTTTGTGTCTGTGTGTCTCAGGCACCAGCAGTAGACAGAACCCAACAACAAAGCCCGACAGTTTAGGTTAGGAATGATTTGTCGAGGGTTTGGTGATTTTTGTTTGGGATTTGGCTGCTTTCCACGTCTAGCACTGGCCCCAGGGACGTCACCCCAAGCTTTTCAAGCCCAGCAGACTCTCAACCCATAACGGATAAGGTCTAGGGTTTGGGGTTTAGGCGGTTTAGGGTCTGGGGATCCCGCCAACATGTTCTAACTCCTACTTGCGGGCAAACTGTTGAACGTGAACGTCGGCTTTTGCTAACCTTTCAGACCGTCGCGGATCTTCTGTCGAAAAATACCTTTGATGTCTTCGGAAATTGGTTACACACATCTTGTGGAGACATTACGGTTCAGGGGATGCAAAATTAAGGTGCAATTCAACTTCCCACCACCACTAGCACCAACAACAACAACAACAACAACAACAACAACAACAACAACAACAACAACAACAACAACCACATCAGCAAAAGGAACACCAGCAACAGCAACAGCAACAGCAACAGCACCAGCACCAGCAGCAGCAGCAGCAGCAGCAGCAGCAGCAGCCAACGGCAATGGCAACTGCAACGGCTTTGCAACAACACCCGCCACGACTGCGACGACGACGACGGCGGTTGTCGTCCTCGACGAAACAGCAACACTGACCCTGTACACTCCGTCAATGTTCAGAAAAGGCGCCTGTCATGTCAACCTCAAGATCAATTCTAAACCCTGAACCCTAAACCCTAAACCCTAAACCCTGAACCCTAAACCCTAAACCCTAAACCCTGAACCCCTAAAAAATACAGAAGCCCAGAGCCCTAAGCCCTGAAATCCGATTGCTTTCTAGCAGCGAACCCTCAAAGTACCGTCTAGTAGCCCTTGTTGGGAGCTTCCGAAAATAGGGGACCCTGATATAGTACCCATGATAATAGGATCCTTAGTATAAGAACCCCAAAATAAGATCATTACCCAAAATTGCCGGAAACTCTTAAAGGATCCCTTTAAAGGTACACCCCCTTTGGCGCCTTCATAGCGCAAGGAGGTTCTCAAACAACGTGTCGAAGGCGGGAGCAGACATGTCCCGCACTTGAGCAACGGCGGCACAAGTTTTAGGTGTTTAGGGTCTAGGGTTTGAGGGTTTAGGGTTTAGGGTGTTTTAGGGTTTCGGGTGCTTTAGGGTTTAGCGGTTTAGGGTTTAGGGACAAAGGAACCGCCAAGATTCGATCTCCGAGGGCCTTAGAGTCTACTTAAAAAGGCCGATCCCTCATCCTGTTCATGGTTGGGATAGGTTTAAAAACTTGATTGTTTGTTCCTTGTTGGGTTTAAGCACCCACAAAAATGTAAAATGTCACCCAACTATGACAAAGTCATGTTTTGAGACCGTGAAAACTCTACATCATCCGAAGGAGGCCTCAAGCACAAGATCAAGCCCCCCACTGACAGGATCACAGGACTTAGTAACTGGGGTTATCAATAAAGTAACTATACTTAACAGCACTTCTAGTACTTATAACCTGACTTACTAAGTCCCAGGATCCTCCAAGTGTATCATCACAATAAAAAAACGCCCATAAAATCAAGAGGGTGGTGGATTCTCTGAGTAAGGTTCGGCTGAGGCCGCAGTGCGGCCTTGCTTCGGTTGTGGGGGGCTTTTACGGAGATCACTCACTTCTTCTGGTGACCAAAACCACGCTCAAGTTCTATCTTGAACGCATCAGCAGAGGGCCGCTGGGCGGCACCATAAAATTGATGCAAGCCCCAACCTTGCCACCTCCAAAAGCAGAATCAACGAGAACCGGTGAAGAAACGAGGAACTTCAGCCTAAACCCCAAAGCCTAACAGTTTCGGGTTTAGGGCTCAGAGGTTTCTTACTCAGGTTCCTACATTAGATTTGTTGGGGGGGAGGGGGGGGGGGTATAATGTGCGATTGGGCTCCGCAGGGCCATGTACCCTTGGTCTGGGGGCTCCTCCGGTAGCTTGGGGTTTAAACCCTAAAGCCTAAACCCTAAACCCTAAACCCTAAGGGCTTCGGGTGCCTAAGCTCTGAACACGGAAGGCCCAAATCCCATAACCCCGCGGCCCCATGCTCCCAGGACTGCACCGAAAACCCACAGCACCAAACCCAAAGCCGGGAGATCTTTGACTAAGGCACATACTCGGTACCTTCAAACCAAAGTAAGGACGACAAGCCCCAAAATATATTCCGCATGAAGCTTAAAGTAGCTTCTGTAAGCCACTAGTATTTGGATCTGCTGGGGTCCTAAACCCAGTGAGAACTCTCATAAAGGTGTCTAAACCCCAAACCCTAAACCCTCATGAAACCTTGCAGGTCCTCTTCTGTCTCCTAGACCCGGAACCGAAATTTCTTAGTAGGGTTGAGGGTTTAGGGTTTAGGGTCTTAAAGTCTTAACCTTAGCCCCAAACCCTAAACCTCAAAAGCCCTTGAACGTACCAGCGTGATGGGACCCGTTAGGCAGCCATCCGGCACCAACTCGTTTTGAGAACCTTCTAACACCCTCATAGAACCCCTATTGCAGAGAACCTTGCATATAACTTTGTAAACTAGAACCCCTACAAACCCCCAAACGCCCCAAAATCGATGTATATACCCTAAATAACCCCTGAACCCCTAAACCCTAAACCCCAAACCTTCTAACCCCTAAACCCTAGCCCCCAAACCTTAGAACCCCTAAACCCTAAACCCCAAACCTTCTAACCCCTAAACCCTGGCCCCCAAACCTTAGAACCCCTAAACCCTAAACCCCAAACCTCAGAACCCCTAAACCCTAAACCCCCAAACCTTAGAACCCCTAAACCCTAAACCCCAAACCTTAGAACCCCTAAACCCTAAACCCCAAACCTTAGAACCCCTAAACCCTAAACCCCAAAGAGAACCTGAAGTCGGGTTCAAAGCCCTCAGACCCGGCCTTTCCGGCAGGAGTACTTCCGCATGCTCGGCCTCGCAAGCGGTTTTCGGTGGAGCCAAGGGTTTATGTAGGGGTCCTTGGGATTACTTGGATTTTAGGGGTTTAGGGGTTTAAGGGGGTTAGGGGGTTTAAGGGGTCTTAGGGTTTAGGGGTTTAAGGGGGTTTAGGGGTCTTAGGGTTTAGGGGTTTAAGGGGTTTGAGGGGTTTGAGGGGTTTGAAGGGTTTGAGGGGTTTAAGGGGTTTAAGGGGTTTAAGGGGTTTAGGGGTTTAAGGGGTCTTAGGGTTTAGGGGTTAAGGGGAGGGGTTTAAAGGTTTGGGGGGTCAGGGGTTTAGGAGTTTCGGGGGTTTGGGGGTTTAGGGTTTCGGATTCCGGCCCTGGCAATATCCCAGCCTCCTCGCACATCCACCAAGCCGGAGCCTAGCAGAGGGGTTGGGGCGTTTAGGGGTTTAGGGTTTAGGGGGTTAGGGGTTTAGGGTTCAGAGTTTAGGGTTTAGGGTTGAGGCTCTAGGGCTTCGGCTTCTTATTATGCAGGCCTTGCTTGCATAGAGAAAAGCATTGCCCTGACCATCATGGCCACAATGCACACGATGGTTCCACTGGTCAAAAAGTATGTGTTCAGCTGTGGGTATACACATACATGCATGCGTGCATGCCTACGTACGTACATACATACATACAGACAGACAATAGAACAGAATAGAACAGGAGGTAGTGCAGGCTAGAATAGAACAGAATATGATGTAGCAGAATATACAGTTCTTACTATATGATATAGCATAACACAACAGACTGCAATACAATACGGTATAGCCTAATATACCATAATTAATTATAAAGAAATGCGATGTCGTATAGTATATTATAATACACACAACAGAATATGAAATATGTATACACATGCATACGTACATACATCTATACACACATCTACCTGCCTACATCTACCTGCCTACACCTACCTACCTTTACATACCTACCCATCTGCGGGCACCCACCTACCTCGCTAGCTTGCTTCCTCGCTCCCTCGCCAGCTAGCTAGCTCGCCCCCAACCCCTAACCCCGAAACCCTCAACCATAAACCTAGAACCCAAAAGGAATTCAGGACCCGGCCGGGTCCCGCGACTCAGCTCAGCACGGCCATAGCACCCGATGTAAAGACGAGGGCTTGGAGTTTTGGGTATGTGAAGACGAGGGAAGCTGACAGCTCATGGGTTGTGCTTTAAACCCTTTGAAAATTATTTATGAATAGGTTCCCTTTATAAGGGAATAAGGGAAGTTACAAATTCTCCCAAAGCACAACCCAGGCTGAAGGGGGCTTGGGGTTCAGGGCTTTTTTTGAGAGATCTGCTCCGTCTGCACATGGGCACCGACGGAAGCTTGCTGGATGCGAGCTAAATGGCGTTCAGGGTTTAGGCCTCAGGGAGTGGGGTTTAGGGTCCAGGCTTCGTTTTTTGGCTTCAGGCTTGGGCTTTGAGGTATGCTAGCGCAAAAGACTTTCCGGGTCTATAGTAGAAGCCAGAAAGTTGGAACATCACTATCCTCGTGCCCTTAAGGTAAAGTATAAGGGAATCCTAGCACTGATCCTCCTGAAGCCATGTTGGAAAAAGGAGGGACCCTTAATGGGGACCCCTACCCTATAATGGGCTATATAATGGTTATTAAATAGCTTTATTAAGGGTATATACCTTGGGGTCATTTCAGGTTAAGTTAAGGTTTAGGGGTTGGGATTTCGGTTTAAGGGGAACTCCAGAAAGTTGGAATATGGATTAATGGTAGGATACCCTATAATGTACCATAAAGGGTTCAGGATAATCATATTCCAACTTTCTGGCTTTTACTTTAAGGGTTTAGGCTTTAGGCTTTGTCAAATGTGTTGTCTTCGGCTCTAGGGCCCTTAGGGTCCAGGGCTTGGCAGCATGCGATTGTGCTTGCGGCCTTGCCCAGAGACTCCAGTATCCCTTAATTGAGGAATATACCTTAAATTATAGTAGGATCCTTTATATGGATTTAAGGTATATTCCCTAATTACGGAGTATTGGAGTCTCTGGGTGTAGGCCCATTGTAGGCTTTAGGTCTTGCGAGGCACTGTGCAGAGCGCAGTGAGGGCTTTCAGAGATTGAGGCAGGCTAAAGCATCCACGGATTTTTGAGTTCAGGCTCTCAGCATGTAGATGTTTGGCAATTTGCCTTCAGGGCGTGCTGCTGAGGATCTAGGCTTCGTGCAGTGTTTCAAGTCCAAGCCAGGGAAACTGGGAACCATCTTCCCAACCCCCCACCGTTCCCCCGCGCTTCACCAACGCACAACGCTTGCCTTTATGCTCTAGCCAGGGGTCGGGTCTTTGTCGCGGCCTGAGAGAGAAGTTGTCGCGGTTCAGGATTTAGCTAAGGGCACTGCCATGTAGCTTGATGAATGCTGCAAGAAGCTTGGCTTTTCTTCCCCACCGTCACTGAGCTGCAGCTCTCCGTCAGAAACCTTCGGTCATGCATCCTGGATACTTAGGTGCAGAGAATCGCCATCCCGTCTGGTAAATATGTGGGTTTACACGTTGAACCTGGACCAATTGACAAAGCCAAAGTCGAGCTGCAACACCCAAGCTGATAAGCGAATTAGCACCAGGACGCGTGTGCGCTCTGAATTTCATGCACGGTCGGATCTAGTAATCTAGTACGGTAGATTGATTTTGCAGTTCAGCGTCTAGGCTTCAGAGATGTTCGGGGCAGAGTTGTCCTCAGTCTGGCCCCCTCACTGTTGTGAGCACCGCATCGGCCATTGTATCCTACGCGCCAGGGGGCGAGCAATTGCTGACACTGTCACGTCACATGGTGTCATGCGGCTACTTGTCGACCATACAATCGAAATACTAAGGTCCCCAGATTATAACCCTCAGAGAAACCCTAAACCCTAAACTCTATCTATGGCAAACCAAGCCCTCGTAGTGTTCAACAGTCCTTGGCTGGTCTAAGCTAAGCAGCTATCCTTGCAAATGGGTAGCAGGCTCGCTGCAAAGCAAGGACAAACCAGCAATGCACAACTCCAGCGGTTTAGGGCTCAGGGTTTAGATAATGGGAACGATGGATGGAATAAACCCTAAACCCTAAACCCTAAAGGTTAAGAAGACCAAAGCTTCCATTCCCCACTTCCCCGGCCGAAGCTTCGCATCCACATCACAACTACGGCTACCGCAGCAGCAACAGCAACACCAGCCACCGGTGGCAAGAGCAACAAAAAACAAGAAGAACGAGAAGAACAATCACAAGATGACTAACATTAATAATAACAACATTCAACCGTGCACGGGGTAACAACAACAAAAACAACAACAACAACAACAACAACAACAACAACAACAACAACAACAACAACAACAACAACAACAACAACAACAACAACAACAACCACCACATCAGCAAAAGGAACACCAGCAACAGCAACGGCAACACCACCACCAGCAGCAACAGCAACAGCACCACCCACAGCAACAGCAAAGGCAACAGCAACAGCAACAGCAACAGCCGCAGCAACAGCAACAGCCGCAGCCACAGCAACAGCCACAGCAACAGCAACAACAAGTACAGCAGGAACAACATAACAATAACAAGAAGAACAACAAAACCAACACTAACAAAAAGAAACAACAATCACACGACAACCAACATAATCCACGACAGCAACAGCAGCAGCAACAACAACAACAATCACGACGGCCAAACAAACAATCAAACAAAAAACAACAAACTAAACAAGGACCGTTAATAGCGGTCATGACTGATGTTTTCGGTGAGGACTAACTAACAACTGACAGTTCATAACTACTGACAATAACAACAACACCAACACTACCATTAACTGTAACCCAAATCGCAATAGCAACGGTAATCGTCATGGTAACCAGATACAAAAGAAGCAAGAGTAACACTAATAGCAGTAGTACTAGCAATAGCCGTGGCAATTGTAGTGGTAACCGTAACCGTAGTCATACTGGTAATAACATCTGCAACAATACTAAAGTCGAACTACTGCTGCACAGACCATATGAATGCCAATAATAATACTAATACGAACACGAATACGCATACCGATGCCAATACAAATACTAATACTACTACTACTACTACTACTACTACAGTACTGATACCAATCTTACTGTAATACTAGTACTCATACTGATGCAAGTTTTTCTACTAGTACTGAAACTAAGACAAATGCCAATTCCGAGTACTAAGACTAAGACCGAGACCAAGACGAAGACTGATACCAATACTGTTACTACGACCAACTCCAATCACAATACTAATGCTACTAAGACTAAGAATCTTAATAATAACACGATTGCCCAAACGACGAAGACGAATAGAAATACAAACCAGAACAGTAGTAAGAAGCACCGATGCTAATGCTTCTACAGCTGCTGCTGCTGCTGCTCCCAAAGCTGCTGCTGGTGCTTCTGCTGCTACGCCTCCGCATGCCACTGAGGCAAGTGTTAGCGCTACTCGTACCCACACCACAACCATCATTACTGCTACACCTGCTTTGGCGCTTGCCGCTTCCACAATTCGTTGACCGTCAGTGCTACTCGTTTGTTGGCTGTCCTTGCTACTACTGCTCTCGCCATCCACCATGCTGGTCACGCTATACTCCCACCGACACAGAAAGAAACATCACCGCCCCCACCACCAACACCTCGATGACCAGGGCCAATGACACAACTATCACCATGGCCGTCGAAATATGCATCATCATCACACGTCTTGAGGCCCTAATTATAAACCCTGAGCACAGCATCCGAATCCCGACCACCTCTGCAATACCATGTAGGCCCCTAATCTAGAACCCTTTTATAGATCCCTTAAAAACCCCTTTAAGGATCAATTTGAAGGGAGCCCCTGAAATCCCGACCGACCACCTCATGCGCTTCGTAGGACCATCACGCATCGTCGGACGGACGAGAGTCTGCCATCCACCTCCGGGCTCAGGGAAGCCAAGGATGCTATAAGAAAGGTGCCAAAGAGGGTTCCTTTAAAGGGGTCCATAAGGGTTACTATAAGGGCTACTATAATAGAGCTACTAAAAGGGTTTAGTATATGGGCCTTAATGATTACCAACCTTATGATAAGGACTACAAAAATAGGGGTAACCCCTAATTTTCGGAAACTCCTAAACCCTAAACACTTTATAGAACCCTTGTAGATCCCTTTAAAGGAACCCTTAAAGGATCCCTTTAAAGTACCCCCCATTTTCGGAGACTCCCATTTGGGGGTTCCTTACTATAACTCTTCTTCGCTGCTGTCTGCTCCCCCGGATGCGGTCATCGTCTTGTCAGAGGCTCCAAAACCCCTTTTCTAAGGTTCATGGGACTTAGTAACTAGGGTTATGATTAAATTAAGGTAACTACACTTATATGTACGTATAGTCCCAGTAGGGGTACTTATAACTGTACTTATTAAGTCCCATGAGCCTCCAAGTTGTTTATGGAAGAACTGAAACGGAACCCCAATGCACTATGATGACTACGGTATATTCCGTATGTAAGCTGAGAATACTCCGTAACCCTTATCCCCAAACCCGAGTCCCACATGGCTGATCTCAAAAGCCTACACTGCCGGAACCCTACGACTAACGTCCTAAATCTTAAACCCTACACCAAGCCTCGAACCTTATCTCCTATAGCCTGCAGGCTCCCTCAAACCAGGCCAAAACAGAGGGCCGGGCCGTAATAATAGGGGCAATAATGAAACAAAGGTTTGGCGTGTGTTTTAGGAGACGTTTAGAAAGGGAGTGATATTGGTAATTATCTGCCTTCTTTACTAATCAGAAGAGGGTTCTAAAGGTGTTGTCAATGGAGTAATATCGGGCTGATGGTTTGTTTACCTGGTTTCCATGAGTGCTTATCAGGTCTTTCTCAAGGTTTCAAATAACGAGCTGAACGATAGGAACAAGTTTTGGGCTGTATATTTTTTTTCGTACAACCCCCATTACACACAATACATCCCCTAGATACTTGCGAAGCGCTCAAACCAAGCCCTGCGCCGCGTATGCCCACACCCGTTGCATCCCGAATTACTAAGCCAACAATCCCAAACATACGCTCCATCGACTATAAGCGGAGTACCGGCCCCTGCACTGTAGCCTGGAAAAAACCTCAAACTGACCCTACCCTCTGACAAAAAAAACGAAAGCCAGGCCCTGCACCCTAGGCCCTAAACCTTCAGGCACAATCAAAACCCAATGAAACTCCGTCAACCCCTGTCAATACCGCAAGTCAAAACACCTGAACCGTGTGAAGCACCCTGCCACCAAAAGCTCTCACCCTTGAACCCTCAACCCTAGATAACCTTCGAAACACCCGGTGCCTGCTTAGAAACTTCCAGGAGCTCGGCGTGGCGGTCCTGGGAGGCTGGGATGCTTGGAGTTTGGTTTAGGGTTTAGGGTTTTTTGCGGCTGTTGTTTGTGTTTAAACGCCCGTTTTCCCTCTTGCAGTTTGCAGTCGGAAAATGCCTTAGAGGCTGGGCCATGCACAGATCCACGGCGTACTTCAGAGTTTAGTGGTTTAGGAGTCTTAAGGTTTAAGGCTTTGGGTTTAGAGCTTTGGACTTTGGAGTTAAAGGGTTTGGCAGGCTTGTGAAGTGGTCGTCGGACGAGACTGAAGCAGAAATCCTTGCTCCACACCTGAGACAGGCGTTTCCCAGAGACTCCAATACTCCTTAATTAGGGAATATACCTTAAATCCATATTAAGGATCCTACTATAATTTAAGGTATATTCCTTAATTAAGGCTTGCGCGCCTAAAAAAAACACCGCTCGAAATGTTGACGACGAGGGAGACAACGATGATGATGAAAATTACGATGGTCACGATGATATCGATGGCGATGGCGATGATGATAACGATGATGATGACGATGATGATTACAATCGTGGTAGCAATGATGATGACCTGGCGATCTGGCAAAGGTGACTGTGCAAAGACCTTTTGCCCCATACCTTTTCCACCCACAAACCTCAACAAACTTGCCGCGACCTTCAAAGTCATCGGCCCCACCAGTGTTTTCGCCTTCTGCCGTAAGACTAGCTTTGCAGCCCAGGTCCGGAGACTAAATTCAGGCCGGCTTTTCCCAGCACACAAAAAGCCCACTGCTCAACACATTGATGACGATGATGATAACGATGATGATGAGAATGATGAAGATGATGGTGACATCGATGGTGACTGTGAGGATGATAGCGATGTTGACATCGATGATGATAGCACTGATGGTCGACTAGGACGGCCACAAAAAAAGGACATGAAATCGTGTACCGTTTTTGCTTCTGCCACGCGACCACTGGGGTAGGTCAAAAGATGCGATTCTGCTGCGCCTGCCACACTTTTCAGCACTTACCTCGGAAGCTCCTGTGTTGGTTTTGTCTTCAGGGTGTTTTTTTTTAGGCGCGCGCGCCTTAATTAAGGGATATTGGGGTCTCTGGGTTAGGAGCTGTTAGTTCGGTGGGGGTCCTTTAGACACGTTTGTAAAACTCATCTTCTAGGGTCTTAAAGTAAAAGCCAGAAAGTTGGAATATCATTATCGTAACCCCTTTAAGGTAGATTGTAGGGGATCCTACCATTAATCCATATTCCAACTTTCTGGAGTTCCCTTTAAACTCTAAACTCTCAATCCCTGAGACATCAACCCTCAACCTCTAAGCTGTTTCCGATACAACAAACATGTTCACGCATATCTATATCTGTATCTATATCTATGTCTATATTGTATCATCTTCTGTTGCATTGTATATGTCTCTGTTATACATATATATATATATATATATTGGAATATGGTGTTCGGGTATGTTGTAACTTGTACTGGGGCTTATTATGGATCTGCCGGCGTAAGAAGGCAAGCCCTACGTAAACTCAAAACCGCATCCCAACTGTTGGTTTGTCAATTCTTGCAGCCGAGGAAGACGTCGAGGACCGCTCCCGCTGCTTGAGCTCGGCCCTAAGCACCTAAAACCCTAAACTCCTAAACCCTAAACCTGAGACCCGAATTGTGAGCAGGGCTGTTGCCCAGAGACTCCAATACTCCTTAATTAGGGAATATACCTTAAATCCATATTAAGGATCCTACAATAATTTAAGGTATATTCCCTAATTAAGGGATATTGGAGTCTCTGGGGTTGCGGCCAGGAGCAGTGTCTGAACTTTGCTGCGATACCCACACGCGTTTTCAGCCAATCGTCTCAGAGTCCCAAGCTGATACCCTAAAGCCTGAACTAACCAGTGGTTTTGGGGTTCCCTTGGCTAGCTCCGCATTTATTTACTAGGAATTATCATGATCCCTGGCTCCTTAGCTCTCCCAATATCAATGGTTAGTAAACCCTCTTTGTTAAGCGCATCTTCTGGAAGCGAAGCTCAAAAGGCTGCCGCCTGCTCAGAAAGCATACCCAGAGACTCCAATATCCCTCAACTAAGGAATATACCTTGAACTTTTGTAGGATCCTTAATATGGATTTAAGGGATATTCCCTAATTAAGGAGTATTGGAGTCTCTGGGTAGGGTTTAGGGTTTAGAGGATTTAGGGTCTTGTGCATTACCTGCGTTTCGGCATTCAAAGGGGAAAAGGAGGGACCCTTAATGGGGACCCCTACCCTTTCATGGGCTATATAATGGGTATCTCATGGCGATATTATCGGTATATACCTAGGGGTCCTTATGAGGGGTCCCTCCTTTTACCCTTTGAGGCATGCTGCTCTCTTACTTACAAGGCGTCTGAGGAGCAAGTGCCGCCGACACCTCTAGACTCTAAACCTGTTGCTCCTTACCATACCACTATGGGCTGTTAGACCTTATGGGTGCCTTAATCTACCCTTATTAGGGTCCTAATAGGGATCTTTAGGGTCTAATAGCCCATAGTGGTAAGGCTTAGGGTTTCGTGTAACGGCCTGAGGATTCTCTAAGACTTTTGCACCCCAAACCTTGAAACCATAGGGCATCTCGGGCTTAGGTGAGGTTTAGGGCATAGTTATAAGCCCAAACTCCTGAAACCTAAACACCAAAACCCTGACTGAGCCCTGAACCCTAGACCCTAAGACCCCAAGCCAAGAGTACTGAACCCCCAGAGACTCCAATACTCCTTAATTAGGGAATATACCTTAAAGCCATATTAAGGATCCTACTATAATTTAAGGCATACTCCTTAATTAAGGGATATTGGAGTACTGAACCCCGACAGCCCTAACCCCTTTCATGCTTCTGGCCCAGTCCTCCAAGACTTTACGCTGCTCCGGGCTGAAATCAATGCGGTTCATGGCCTCTCGTGCGAAAGCGAGGCGGGGCACGGGGAGATCAGTGTTGAGACCTTCAGGTGTAGAGTTGAGAGTTTGGTCCCGGAGGCAGGATGAAGGGTTGGGTCTTCTCTCCTTTAGGTTCACGGGCTTGACGACCTTGTTTTGGGAGTCACTTCTTAAAGGAAACCCTACTCCTGAATTCCAGGATTCAGACTAACTGATAGAGTCAGCAGAACTCACAAGGTTCTGAAAATGAAGCTCTAGAGAAGGTGCATGGCACCAGTAGCTAGGCATTGGCCCTCCACTCTAAACACCCCTAACCGCCTTCATGCAAACGAATCTCTAGCTGTCTGTGCCCAAGATATTGAAATCCTGCATCGGTCACGCAGTTTCCCAAGCCTTGATTTGAAGCCCCAAAGGCAAAAACGGCAAAACACATGACTCCTCAGCCTCAAACTAAACATAGGGACCTTAATCATATCACAAAACAGGGCTATAAGGCATTATGATTACCATATATAACTCTTCCTATCTCAACACTAACACCCTAAACCTCCAGCCTGAAAGCAACATTAAACAGGTAGTCCCGAAGCGACATGAACCGCTCAATGGCGGAACACTTCTGACCCTCTGGTGCGAGAAGGGTAGCAGGCAGCCAGTGCAAATTTCGCTCACGGTACACTGAAGCACAGAGCAGGGTGCACGAAGTAGGGACAAATCGCTGGACCCGCTGCCCGCTTCCGCACGATCGAGGGCTTGCATGTGATGCAGTCGTGCTCGCGCAAGCAACTAAAGCGCTAGCTTCACTTGAAGAGGGCATCAAGCGGCACCTCAACATGCTCTACCCAGATATCCCAATACCCCCTAACTAAGGAATATACCTTAAATCATAATATTAAGGCCTCTATCATTTAAGATATATTGCTCAGTTAAGGGGTATTGGGTTCTCTGGGTACTATTTTCGAAGTCTCGTTCCCAGTGTGGGTTGGGTCGACTGTGGCTGGACCAGGCAAAGGGAGTACAAGTGGACACGCAGCGGCCGCAGGTGCGTGGGGTAGGGTTTAGGGCTTTAGGCTTTAGGGTTTAGGGTTTACGTGAACCGGATCTGCTCTCTTGCCACTACAAACGACACGGCGGCCGCAAGAATACGGAATACGGCTTAGATGGTTTTGGTTTAGCCCTAAACCCTACACCAAAGTATGAAAAAACCCTATTACATGCAACCGTAAATCCTATACTCAATTCTCAAACCCCTGAACCCTGCGAAGCCCCAAGCTCGAAATCTTGAATCACTGTAGACCCCCAGGAAGGACTCACCACCGCCTCGTCCACCTCGCGGCGACAGAAAGCCGTCAGGGCTGCGTCAGCAAAGGCCACGGCTTGCGTGGCCAGGATGCCTGTCACGCGTTGTCTGGAAGAACTTAAGGCGTTTCAAAGGGGTTTTCACAAGGGGTTTTCACAAGGTATACAGATTTGGTGATTTCGAGTACTTCTTACGGTTTGTTTAAAAGACTTTAAGTGCTTTGGAGTTCCTATTTCGTGCTTTTTTGAACGATTGATGAATAAAGGATTCGACACAATTTCTCGAAGTTCGATATGATCCCTAAACCCTAAACCCAAACCCTAAACCCCAACACTTGTGAGCGCAGGGTTTGGGATTCCGGGCTTGCGACATTCGTATCAGCTTGCAGGTGCGGGGTGTAGGGGCTCAAGCGTGCAAGAATAAAGTTTGGCATGTGGTTTTGGGGGCTTCGGGTCTGGGTTTAGGGTTTAGGGTTTAGGGTTTTGGGGGTGTTGAGTTCGGTAGGAAGCGGGATTTGGGGTTGGGGGGTGTGGGGCGAATGGACTGGAGTGTAGGAGTTGGCACAAGGCATAGTATATGATTGTTCGGGGTTCAGGAATTAGGCATGGCTGCAGGGTTTGCTTTTGAGAGACTCCACGTTAACTGCAGAGAAGTTATGCATTCCAGCTGGTTTTCAATATGGGAGTTTCCGAAACTGAGGGGTACCTTATCTTGGGGTCCTTATAATCAGGATCCGACTATGTAGGGTACTATATTAGGGTCCCCTGTTTTCGGAAACCCCCATATGAAATATGGGCTCATCAATCCTAATGTAGGAACTTGATTAAGAAACCCTAATAAGAATAACCCAGGGTTTCGTTATCAAGTTCCTACATTATACCGGGTGGTACATGGACTTGCGGAGTTTTCGAGGCTCCAAACTAGTCGGACTATGTCCCCACCCTAAAACAACCTGCCTTGATAGCAGCATCACCCTCCTCCTCATTGTCCTCATCATCATCATCATCATCATCCTAATCATAGTCATCACTATCAGCATCATCATCGTTATCATCACCATCAGCATCCTCATCGTTATCATCACGATCATCAGCATGGCCATCACGATCGTCTACATGGTCCTAGTTGCTGGGCGAGCTTGTTCCTGCTAAGCTGTGCCGCCATGGATTTAGCCGTATGATCCAGCCTGCCAGTGTCGCGAATGCGCGCTGCAGTTGCAGGGTGACCTGGGACAAGCAGGGAAAGCAGGAGTTTCATCGACTTGTAGCTCATAAGAGCTGCTGAACCTTAAACCCTAAAACCTAAGCCCTAAACCCCAAACCTTAAAAGCCGAGGGCTTGAGTAGTTATTCTTGTCTCCATGTTGCAGGCAGCCGCGTTTGGACGCCTGGGTCCGCCACGGGAGCAACCGAAGCCACATCTTTGGCCTCGAAAACACGATCCTGCAGAGGAGAATCGGACTGGTTCAGGGATTTTGTAGTTCAGGGTTTCGGTTGTTTTTTTTTGAGGGCTCATTTCCGACTGCAGTACAGCTAGAATTCCTTACCAGGATGAGCCAGGTTGTTGGGGCCTAGGGTTTCGGGTGTAAGGTTCAGGGCTTGCAGGGATGGGATGACCGTTAGCGCCAAAAGCGGATTCAAGGCCTATGGTTCAGCGTTTAAGGTACATGGTTATACACCGCTTCAAGACAAGTTGGCGTTCCCAAGCAGCATGACCCTGAGCGTGCAAAGTGACCGAGACCAAGTAGCAGTAACAATGGCTTCTTGAAAAAGGACAGAGTGTGTCTAAGCTGCAGAAGTCCGACAACGAGCCTGACCTTGCAATCTTCAAGCTTCCGGCCGCCTGAACCCTAAGCCCTAAACCCTTACTAAACCCTAAACCGTAAACCCTAAGTTTTCAACCCTAAGCCCTTAATCCTAAACCTTACGCCCTAAACCTTAAACCCTAAACCCCTGAACATCCACACAGCCTCTCACCATCTCATGAACCGACGGACAGATCGCAGAGGTCTCCCCAAACCCTCTGCTCACTCCCACCGAAAAAGCCCCAAAAGCTACCCTGCGCCCTATACCCCAAACCCTAACCCTGAAAGTATCCCATTAGTCACTCCAAACCTTAGAACCCCATGCCAGGCCCGATCCTGCAGCGGCCTGGGAAGGCCTCCGGCGAAGCACTTGGCAGAGGCTTAGCAGGACTGCAGCTACCCCATTCCGCTTTAGGAGCTAAGGCTTAAAGGGTTTAGGGCTCACGGGGTTTACGGCTTTGGAGTTACGGGTCGAGGTTCGGCTATGACTAGATGTCATTTCCACCAGTCTTCTTGTGGAAGTACTGCTGTTGCTGCACTACTGCCTCTTACTAAAGGCATTGGTGCCCTCCTTGTCGCTTGTTCCGGTTGCATATGGTCCACTAGTCATTTTTGGGGGGCCTGTTGTGCTGGTGGTCCAGACCCCATGCCTGAAACCCTACCCTCCAGAGAACCCAATACCCCCTAACTAAGGAATATACCTTAAATCATAATATTAAGGCCTCGAGGCGGTGCTTTCTTGATTGCTGCATTTGTCATCGGCAGTGTATTTGCTTTGCTGATGAAAGCTTTATCTTCGTCCTTCTGGAGCATTGCTTTTGCGATCTTCTTCATAATCGGTGCGGGTGGATTCTTCGCTTGATCTGGCTTGCCGAAGAAGCAGGCCAGCGGGTGCTGTTGAGGAGTCAGAGCACCGGTACCATAAACCAACAGACCATGTGCTGCCGGTTCACCGAACCGCCCACATTCGCCCTGAGTGAAGTTGGCTTGAAATGCCCTATAGGGTCCTCACTTGACATATTGCGTCTGTATGCACCCTCAACTGTCCCAGAAGACCGTGCTCGGCCTTCATCCACAGCTCTGCACAGTGCAGGTGCCCAGGTAGTCTGACCCAGCAGCCCGATGACCAAGCCATCTAGGAAAAACTTATCCTTGGCCCCCACGCGAAAGCTTGTATCATTTAAGGTATATTCCTTAATTAAGGCGTATTGGGTTCTCTGGGCCTTCCTACCCCAAGCCCTGGGACCGTCTGCCCTTCCCCAGCCCCGGGAAAAAGCTTCAGGATAAGGTTTCGGGGCAACTATCGTCTTCTAGTATAAACAAGGAGCCCTGAAGAACAGTATGGGCAGTTATTCAAGCCCTAAGGGTCCAGTGCTCATATAGTAGAAACATTGGCCCCAAAGTGCTTAAAAACGGACTACTTTAAGGCCAAACCATACACTATTGGGCACATGGACCCTGAGGGAAGCTTCTACAAAAGCCTTAAACAAACACTAAACTGAGTTGTCCTTATTATGGTTCTCTACAAAATAGTAGGGGAAACTAAAAAACCCAGTAAACCCTAAACCCTAAACTCTGTGGCTTCGACTTGTCCCGGCCTCCACTGGGCCCGCTGCGGCGCGCCATCTCGGCACTCACCCGTCGCCGTGCCTCAGAAGGTCTCAGAATGTTTCCTAATTATAATTATAGTATTGTACTTCTAACCACTTATAAGCCCACTGAAGGTACTTATAACCTGACTTACTAAGTCCCATGATCCTCCATGTACAGCTCGTAGCCCTACAAGAATGAGGGGGCTCTAAACAATTCAGAGAAGTCCTTGGATCTCTCAAAAGGGTTGCTGTAATGGGCTCTTATAAAAGGGTCTACAAGGGTTTCTACAAGGGCTATTATAAGGGTTTAAGATAGGGGCCTTAATAATTACCTATACTATGTTGAAGGTTCCTTATGATATTTATAGTATAATTGGCCCCCAAAACCCACTTCAAAATATCAAGGCCCCTATATTAATCCGGAGAAGCCCTTGAACCGCTTATCCCCACCCATAGGCTCCATCGTAGTAGTTCCTTTTGGGATTGCCTATAGTAGGCTTCTAAAGAAGAAACCCCAAAAAACGAAGTACTAGGGAGCCTCTAGGTAAGCCCTACATGTTGAGTTGTTGGGAACTTCAATATCCCTTAATTAAGGAAGAAACCTTAAATTAAAAGTATAGTAGGATCCCTAATATGATTGATTGAAGGTATATTCCATAATTAATATTTTAGTCTCTGGGTTCGTCGTCCTGGATTCAAGGCTTTGGGCGTGGGGTTTTGGGAGGACTTCGAGCTCCGGGCTGTGCCGCTTTCGACCTGGCCTTCTGGGGTTTGGGCTTACGGGTCTAGGGTTTAGAGGTTTATAGGGATTAGGGTTTAAGGGCTTATAAGGCTTTAGGGGTTTAGGGTTTAGGGATTTATAGGGTTCTTAGAGGTTTAGGGGCTTACTGCAACTTGATGGATCTGAAGACCCTCAAATTTACGGGGCAGTGTGGCAACGTGGCCCGTAGCATGGCAGTATAGCAGAGTACAGCACAGACTAGTGTGGCATAGTACAGTCCAGTAGAGTAGAGTAGAGTATACTATGGAAATTCTACGGAGTTTCCAGTTTTGATTCTAAGTTTTCGAGACATCTCTTGCACATGGACCTGCAGTATGTTCCATCAGTGTGCGCGAAGACACCGCAACCTCTAAACAAGAACTAGCCACATGAGAACTATTGTATACCCCGCTGACTAATAATTACGTACCTCAAAACGTTTACAATAGGGCTTCAAATAAATATATATATATATATATACATATACATATATATATATATACATATACATATATATTCGCCCTCAAAGAAAAGGGGTATATAGTAATCAGGGGTATGCACTCTAATTTCAGGCAGTGCACATTTAAAGGCGCCCGGCACGCCTGCCAACGTCAGAACTAGCATACAATGGCTGCGATCACACAATACAAGCCTTTCAATATCGGGGCCTTCGCCAATGAGATCAGGATTTGGAGGATATTATGATATGGCTAGAAAGAGGAATATTGACAGTTACTCATGCACTCAATTTTTTTTTTGCGGAGATGTAGACACTCGTGCTTGCAGTCTGGCCGTCATAACCCAAATGTCCGCACGAGTGAAACCTATGTTGCGGCTGTCAAGTTGAAGCGTAAACGTTCAAAGCCGCTACGCCGCTACTTCTTGAGAATGGCCGTAACCTGGTCCGCCAGCTCCTGATTGAGACTACAGCCAGGCGGTGGACACGGGATGCATTCCACCTTCTCTAACCGCAGGCCAGAGACATGACCATAATGGTACTTCCTTGGCCGCTTTTTTGATGAGACTACGACTATCCGTCATGGCAAAACGAAGAAGGTGGGGTTCCCAGAGACTCCAATATTCCTTAATTAGCGAATATACGTCAAGTCATATTAAGGATCCTACTATAATTTAAGGTATGTTCCTTAATTAAGGGATATTGGAGTCTCTGGGTTCAGGGTTGAAAGTTTGGGGTATAAGCTTCAGAGTTTAGGGCAGCCACAAGAGCGGTGCCATCAATCAAAAGGGGAAACGGAGGGACCCTTAATGGGGACCCCTGGGTCCCTATAATGGGGCTATATCATGGGTATATAATAGCTATAATAAGGGTATATACCTAGGGGTCCTTCTTAAGGGTCCCTCCTTCTACCCTTGGAATCAAGCTTCATGCGCTGCCATCCTTCCATAGCGTTCTCCACGAGGAGGGGCATCGTCTCGCTGCAGGTGCCCAGGAGGTCGATTACAAGAAGGAGCGGCCTCCACCCAAAGCGATGCGAGGCAGCACCAATGCTGGGAGCCTCGTACAATGCCAAGACCTCGATGTATTATGGAAGGCTCTGCCTACAAGGGCCTTTTTGTGCGTCCGAACCCTACCCATAGGGTAGGCCCTAGGCCCCACAAAGGGAACAAGTACCGGCGACGAAGCTTAGCGACAGAATCCTGGAGAGGCCGCTCACCCTCCATCGGCTTATTCACGATGGCGATGACCCACCTCTGGTCTGTCATTGCCATGCCTAGGATGCCCAGTAACCTAGGAACAAAAAGGGCTGCATGTTTGGTATTGGGTCACTTTATAAGGAGCCTAGGACGACAAAAAGGGAGTAAGGGTACTTCTGGGCATCCTAGATGCCTGTCACAAAAGCAAAGCTGGTATATGTCCAGAAGTGATGCATGGCCCTCTTTGCGGCCTTGCTCCCATCCGTAAAGCAGGACTGAAAGTCGCCTTGATTTCTAACAGCTCGCCCGATAAAGGTGTTGGGGTGCACAGGTTCATGGTCAACCATGCGTGCGAAGTCCTCCAGTGCTTGTAAAGTGCCTCTTCCGGACTCATCACCGTCCCAGAAGCCGGCCCAGAGCAGTGCTCCTGACCTCGAAGCTTGGATGAGGGGAGCGTACCAGTCCGGTATGATGTTGTCGCTTCGAGCGTTCTCAGCAGTATCGCCATGTCTCTTTCGGTGCGTCGCCTTGCTAACCATGTGCTCACCACATGTGAAGATGCTCCAAAGAAAATCTTGACAGGCTGGCGCCTCGTCGTGGGGGCACTTTGATGCCACTTCCGTGATAAAACCTCGGATTTGATTCACGCATTCGGTACCGGCCTGCTCCAAGAATCGCCGCCGGACATTCGCCATCTCCTGGCACTTTTCCTCATCCTCCAGTATCATAATAGGCAGCTTACGGCGGACGGAGTTATCTAGATCTGTAACTGTCCGAGTCCGATGAGCGACCGTCAGCACCGAGAGAGCAGACTGAACTGTTAAGAGCTGGATCATGGCTGGCGCCCTAAATCCCAAACCCTGAAGGGCATGTGGAACTGATCGACTTAGCAGACTGATGCCGAGTGTTCTTCTTGACCCAGAGGGTTCACGGATGCTGATTTCAACGAAGGTTCAAGCCCAAAACCCTAAACCCTAAATCGGGGTTCAAGCCCAAACCAGGCAAAGTCCTCTGGATCCCTAATGGGTCCCTTAAAGGACGCCTGAAGGATACCTGAAAGGATCCCTTAAAGGATCCTCTGAAGGATGCCTTAGAGGAACCCTTAAAGGAACCTTGCCATGTGCTCCTACATGAGATAGGGCGTCTTAATACACAGAACCTTCTATAGCAAGTTGCAAGTATTACGGACTATACAGGGGATATTACCTGATTGTGAAAAGGAACCCTCCCCATAGTATAGGTAATCATAAAGGCCCCTGTATTATTTCTAATTCTGTTCGGCTCTGTCCCAAGTCCCATGGCGGACGCGCGGGGCTTCTGACTGAATCTAATGCCTCTAAACCCTAAACCCTCAGCTCCTAAACCTTACCAGCACCCCCCCCCCCGAGTACCCCTTAGTACAGCCCGTATGGATACCTCTAAACCCTTTAACCTGAACTCTAAACCCGTAAACCCTGTACCCTAAACCCTAATCAAGCCCTAAACCCCTATATAAACCCTACACGACTAAATCCGAAACCTCTAGGTCTGGGGGGGGGCGGCGAATACGAGGAGTTAGGATCTCTTCGGGGTGTAAGGGTTTAGGGGTTCAGGGATTTAGGGGTCTCGGGGTTTAGGGGTTCAGGGATGAGGGATCTCTGCAACATACCCAGCATCAGACTCCGGGTGCTTTCGGCTTCAGGGATACGCGTACAGATTAGCGTACGCCCCCAGGGCATACCGCAGGAAACCCTCCTACTTCACCCAGTAAGCAGGGCTAGAACAAACCTTGTACTACTTACAGCCCTAGGCAAGGTACTTCACGAAAAATACTAAGTCCCCTGATGCTTGAAGTACACGCTGAAATCTGAAACGCTGAACCGGAACCCGAAAAATCCTAAAGCATCCGCCCCTATCCCTAAATCATATAATCCCTAAATCATATAAGCCCTACAAACGCCTAAACCTGAGAAACCCAAAATCCGAAACAAAACTAGACTCGCCAGTGGTTTTGGGGTTCCCTTGGCTCTTTAGCTCCTTCTCTAATAGGATTTATCATGATCCCTGGCTCCTTAGCTCCCCCAATATCAATGGATAGTAGAGCCCGGTCGCATCATCGCCCCGGCCGCTGCGGCCGCTGTTCTTGGCTTCGCCTTTCGTCGAGGCCTCAAAGGGCCCAAAGACTCCAATATCCCTTAGTTAAGGAATATTCCTTAAATTATGGTAGGATCCCTTATATGGTTTAAGGTATATTCCTTAATTAAAGGATATTGGAGTCTCAGACGGAACTCAGGGGAGAAAGAGCTTCCCTCGGTCTTATAGGATTTATGGATATAGGGCTTATCAGCTAGACACTATCACGCCTAGGTTCACGGACCCCTCAACCACCATCATAACCATCTTACCAACATAACCATCATAACCATCTTACCAACATAACCTCATAACCCTAAACCCATCATAACCATAAACCTTAAACCCATCATACCATCTTACCAACAACCCTAAAACCCATCATACCCATATACCCTAAACCATTCTTACCCATAAACCCTAAACACACACCACCAAAAACCCTTACCAAAAAAAACAAACCAAAAAAAACAACTAACCAAAGCCCCTAACCTCCTAATCTTACCCAACCCACTACCCAACGAACCCGGGCGTGTTCCTTATTGAATTTTCATAATTTTCATAATTAATTATTATGAAAACTAAACTACACAGAACTATGAACTATCATTTCACATATGAACCTTGATGTTTTACTTAAACAGTCGTAATCCGAATTGTAATGGTTGCGTATCTCATATACAATATTCAGAAAGAACTTATGCACTCTCTGATAATGGTCCATATAGCCACATGGAGTATCTTTGTAACGTTATCTTTTCTCTTTGTGCCACTTGTAAACATCATACGATCCTAAGTTTTCATGCGTTTGTTTCATCTCACAATGTAATTCCAGGGTGTATTCATTACTGCTAATATTTCTTTTTCATACTTCACAGGCCTTAGAATATTCCTGATTTTTGAATGACCTAGTGAAGACATAAATGTAATCATCCAGTATACATTTTAATTTACAGCACTTGTCACAACAATAATACTCAGAAATTAAACAATTAACATTATGCAATGCATCACATTTGCTTAATAATATCTGCTGTAAGCTCTTAACTTCATTACACACAGTGCAATGTTTGAAATAATTGAATTTGCCCATTTCCTGATAAAACATTTCCGTTTCATCAAATTCGCTCTCACTTTCATATTCGCTGCCTGTCATCTCTTAATATTATATGTCGCCTTCTCTTTACGCCTCTTTCTCCTAAAACCCTTCTAAAAATATATAACTAACAATAATATTTTCCAATCTCTCTTCTAGCTCTCTCAATTTATCTGTATTATTCATCGCTTTCATATGTTCTCTTTCTCGTTGTATTTCTTCCATTTTCTGCCTATGTATTTTGCTACTCAAGTGCCTACTCAAAAATTTGTATTTGTCAATAACCTTACCACATAACATACACCGATGATACATTCATAAAGATACGTTTTCCATCACTACATTCTTAATTCAACCTTTCTTTAAGTTTCTTTCGTTCAAGGCAAAAGGGCTTAAAGACAAAACGCCTTATTATATTAGTGAGATAGACATGAGTAAGATAGAGAACACGGTTCGGAAAGTGAAATCTTTTATCAAGAATAATCCCTATCCAAAATGTGAAAAAACTATGGAACTATTGCTTGCACATGCCCATGAAACAAAAAGCGAATATGCAAGAAGAGAAACATTAAAAATGATTAGTGAATATGGAAGACCTAATCACGAATGGATGAAAGAGATATACGAAAATATAATGGATGAAAAACTAGTCAAAGAAAATGGTCGAAAGATTAATGAGAGAGGTGATAAAGTAGCAATGGTTGATAATTATGATGTTTTATGCTATTTCTTATGTTATACAACAGACAAATTGAAAGTTAAATGCAATGCAGTAGTTGATATTTATTATCCAATCAAAACACAAATAAGTGAATGTTGGCACAGTATAGGTGATTGGAGACACTAGAATAGTTAATATTATTTCTTGAAATAATCTTGATTATTGTCTTCTGCTATATTCCTGTTCTCAATCAGAATTAAGCTGTTTATACAATATTCACGTGACCTATCTAAACACCTTCTACACGTTTTATTCATCCTACCTGCTTTCTTCTTATGTTTCAACTCTGACAAGTCCTTAAATCCACCACATACCCCGCATTTATTATGTATTTTTCCTTCGTCTCCCGTCAATTTAGTATCGGCTCTAAAATCAATATTCATTATTTATTAGTAATAATTACAAAAAATTACTAACAATACCATAGGGGTTCTTCTTCTCCAAAACGAATTCTGAATTCTTTGGTTGTAATACCTCACCCTGTTCGCTAGTAAGTATTTATAACGATACAGATTATTTCACTGGCAATACACCGGGCACAAAAGACGGGGACCTATCCTTTACCCACTATTTAGTAGAAACTAATTTCTAAATCTTATGAATGAGTAATATTCCGATAGTCAAACCGATCAACGTTAAAGAATACGATTTTAAACAATCTAAACGTGAAGTAGCACCTAAATTACCGCTCTCAATGATTATAACTGGTCCCTCCAGTAGTGGCAAGGGTATTCTACTACAGTCGCTTCTTCTAGACATTTACAAAGACGTCTTCGCAAGAGTTTACGTCTGGTCTCCTTCGGTTTCAATTGACCCGAACTGGACACCTGTTAAACGATATATTCAAACAGAATTGAAGGTAGATACAGAAAAAGAAAAGGTCTTCTTCGATGAATACAAGGTAGAAGAGTTGGAAGCGGTAATAAATAGACAACATAAAATAACAGAATACCAAAAGAAGAACGGACATAAGCAATTGCATTCAATAATAATAATAGTGTATGATTTTGCGGATTCTAAGGACTTTTCAAGAAATTCACCTTTACTTAATCAACTATACGTGAGAGGCAAACACAAGGCAATGTGCATTATAACGGCTACTCAGAAATTCAATGCGTTAAATCCTATCATACACGTCAATTCAAGACAGCGCTTGTTCTTCCGGTTGAGAAACTACAAAGAGATTGAAACAGTGGTGGAAGAATTAAGCGCCGTCTTGATTAAGAAATCAACGGTCGCAGATGCAAAGAACCTAGCAGAAGCTAAAAAAACTATTACTTGAAGTTTATAACAAAGCTACGGAAGAACCGTATAGTTTCTTATTCATCAACCTTATGAAGCCGGATGTCAATGACATGTTCTACAAAAGATTTGATGCTAAATTAGTGACTGATTAATAATAGTATATTATGATAACATTTTTCATCGCTCCGCTTTTATCATTAACTCAGAGTCGGGAACATCGCTATAGCACGGCTCCATTGACCAGCGCATTTGATGGGCTTTTTATGCACCACCAGTGCAGCAGCTGGATGAGCTTCTCCGCTGCTTTTCTCTGCCACCATGAGCAAACGTTCAAGCTGGTGGCACTTGATATAAACAGCGCTGCATTCACAGTTACCCCCACAATTGTGCCAGCCGGCACAGACCTTAGCTCATCTACAAGGTGCAAAAGTCTGTTGAATTTTCACAATGCCGCCATATCTGGAAAGTGGTAAGTATTTGGAAGAGGGGCTTCGCAACTTTGGTTTAGGGGTTGAGGTCTTTTGGTAAGAGTTGTTGGTGGAATGGGTATAGGA